TCGCCTACCCCTGTACTAAACGCGTTTTATTCTATTTGCCCAAAGGGGATTTGATCATTGCTAAGCAGAATAATTATCTTAAGAGGCAGAGCCCTTTAATTACCAGGAGTTCAATGTCTCTTCCTATGAAAGTTGTTCTAACCTCATTCACATAACCCAGCGTCTAATATTTAGTAGGCTGGAACGTTTCAATTCCTCTTTTAGACAAACCTGGTACAAAGCACACAGTGGTTTCTTCTAAAAAAGGCTTTCATGTATATTTAATGTACATAATACATGTAATCAACACTGTTATATATGTTTATATTACATTAATACAATTCTATATTTTTATATTATGTATTTTTGGGAATCTGTGAGTTTGGCTTTTTGTGTGCTGGACTTTCACTTTATTAAAGCACAGAGCCAAAGCTTTGTTTTTCAGTTTGGATAGAGTAGGGAGGCATTAAAACCCCCATCTAGTGTTTATTGCCACTTGTGTTCTTGGGGGGAATTTCCTTTAACTGCTGCCTCTGAGATACAACAGGAAATGAAAGGAAAATCCTCTCTTGGACCGTCACTGGAACAGTTCTAGGAAGTAGACATGTGCACCAGCAAAAAATGTGTTTAGTTTCGTTTTGATTCGGATTTTCGTTATTTTGTTTTTCATATCCGGGTCCGCAATTGAATTCTTTGCGGGATTCGGATTTGAACGAAATTCGTTAGCAGTAGTCGTTTTTCGGATTCTGGTCCGCAATTAAATTTGGATTCGGACTAAATTCGTTAGCGGTAGTCCGGGTGAAATTTTGTTTATTGGACGAAATTTCGTTAGCAGCAAAGTGACATTAGAAAAAAAAATGTTTTTTTTTTTACAGTCTGCAGAAGATGAAAAAAAAAAAAGCGTGATGTTCCCCCCCAATTCATACCAGACCCTTCGACCGGACTACCGCTAACGAATTTTCGGGAAATTGAGAATCTTCTGCAGACTGTAAAAAAAACAACATTTTTTTTCTAATGTCACTTTGCGGCTAACGAATGTCCGTCCAATAAATTAAATTTCGACCGGACTACCACTAACGAATTTCTGGAAATCGGGAATTCGGATTCGTTATAGCTGTAATTCGGAATTCGGATGCATCCGAACTTCCGAAATTTCATCTGAATTTTGATTCGTTTAAATTCGTTTTAACTGTAATTCGGAATTCGGATGCATCCAAATCTCAGAAATTCTGAAAATTCGTCCGAATTTCGATTCGGAATGAAACGAATCGCACATGTCTACTAGGAAGATTCCCACTCTATTCCCATTCAGATAACAACTCAAAAGTTGGGATTATTCCTATTTTTCAGTCCTGGAGATAATGGTCACCAGTACAAATAGATGGGTAACTCTCCCCACTGGGGACACACAGCAATACATCTCTTAGTAGAGACTCTAACACTTTGCCTTCCTTACCCTGGCTTTACATACACTTTAATGTTCTGTTTCCAGCATTGTGTGGTTTGGCTTCCCCTAAGTGAGCCACATCATTACAAAACTCGCACAAACCTGAGGCCTCTGGATGCTGCTTTCTGCAGGTGACCTGACCTGGGACCAGATATTCAGCATGGCGAGCTGGCCATGGATATTCATGACCTGGGAGTTGTAAAGAAGAAAATCTTAATGCACTCCTTACCGGATATTCCCAGTGATGGGGGGGGGGGGGGGGGGGGGGGCGTGTTGCCTGCAGGGACAGAGGAGTCAGCGCTGGATCGGAGAGCCGCCGCAGCGCTGGAGAGAAGGCTGAAAAGGACTGGAAAGAAGAGGAAGATCGGATTAAGAGACATCATTTAAGGTAAGTGTTTTACTTAACATTGGGGGGAGGGGAAAGAAATTTGACTTTAATGTCACTTTAAAAATGCATTCAAGTACCTTACCTATTACTGCTCCAAGCGGCAGCTTTGTGAATAGACCCCTTAGTTTACTAATTTATATTGAGATTGTAGTCCATCAGGGGAGTGACTACTTTACAACACACACAGCGACCATGGGGAACACAAGTAACCACCCTCCAGAACAAAGACAAGTGTCAGCACCAATTCATAGATGATTTGAGGATCTACAGGCGAGTGATACACAAATAAGATACAGTTTTGTTAATAGTTGAGGTACTTGAATGCATTTTAAGATTGAACTCCGGAGTTCAGTGTCACTTTAATCTTGGCAGCCAAACCTCTGTTGTTCTACATACATGGACACATGTAGGGTTATCCTATACATCCAGATGATGGGGATCTACGCTGTCTCTGAACTATCCAAGCAGACTCTTTCCAACCCTCTGCTGAACAGTATCTCTTGGATTGGTAGAGAAAGGGTTTAATGACACGTTCTAGATATATTGCCCTATGGTATTTAGAAAGATATGTTTCATACATCCTTAGACAAAGTCAATGTATCAATTCACAACAATGTATCAGTTCTTTATAAACAGAAAAAATATATAATAGCTCTATGTATGAAATATTCATGGATCCATTTTATACAAACTACACACATTTTATTGTAGAAGAGAATGTTCACTTCTACAGTACAATAAAAATGAAATTATGATGACAATAACTCAGTGGGGAAGATTTATTAAAACTGGAGCAGACAAAATCTGGAGCAGTTGCCTATAGCAACCAATCAGCTTCTCTCTTCAGTTTGCTCAATTATGCTTTCAAAATGAAAGAGAGAAGCTGATTGGTTGTCATGCACAGCTGCTCCAGATTTTGTCTGCTCCAGTTTTCATAAATTCCCCTCACTGTGTCTTGAGTTATAATAATAATTTCACATTTCTATTACAGTATTTTCTACACAGTTTTGGCAGTCAGTCTCCTTCCTCAATAACGTTTTAGTTAAAGAGACTTTGTCACCAACTTTTTAAAAAAATGCAGGTAAACAACACAAAAAAAAATCAAGTATTTCAAATGCTTATTCACAGTGTTTTTTCTTTCCATTATTTTTTTTTATTCACTTGAAATATGCCTCTGAGCATGCTAGAAACGTTGACTTCTTCAGAAAAGTCTACACTCCCTAGCACAGCTTCCTCCCTCTTTGCATGTGATAGCCCTCTTCTCTTCTGGGAGGGTCTAATTACTCTCTGTGTTGGCCCAGCTCCTCCCCTCCGCCCCTCACCTACCTACATAAAATTTTATATAGCTACCAGGGAAGGATTGAAGGGGGATTCTATAGAGGGTCACTTGAGTGACAGCTTTGGGGCTGCTGACATCACATCCAGATGGTGGATCACCAGCAGATTTGTGGGTGTCTATATAAGGGAGGCTTCTACAGGTAAATAACATGCAAAAATATGTTAAAGTGTAATTTCACTTTTTTACAAAATGTGATAAAAAGAATTTACCCGGAGCATTCTGTCACCTCTGCCCGTCCCCCGCGCTATTCATACAGTTTAGCTGTAGGATCCAGCATAGCACTTGCAAATAGCGAGCGCTCATTGGTCAGCATGGTCACATGACCACGCTGGCCAGTGGGAAGTGCTTCTACCCATTTTGAGAAAGCTGAATTACCCTTTAAATGCACATATCTTATGGGAAGATTTAAAGTGTATTTCCACTTTTGCAGCCAACATTTAACGTTGTTCTCTGTTTGGAATGCAAGGGGGCTGGAAGGGTCATTGTTACAATATTTAATCCCTGTCTGTATTGTGCTGACAGATCCCATTATCAGTTGTAAACTAGATGTGAACACTTTCAGTCCTAACAAAGGTAAAGATCTACAAGCATTGGATGTTAATGAGAGGAAGCTCTGCCTGTCTCTGGTCTTTCTATGGGGACAGACAGAGTTTTCTGTCACTTGGAAATTGAGGGAGAAGCTTGCAAAGGTTCCATCTACACACACACATCCAAAAGGTAAGAAATATTTTTCGGTATGCCGTGAGAATGGGAACACATAACAAACAAATATGACTGGAAAAGTAGAAATACACTTTAAAGCGTAGAATAATAAACCACTGGAAGATGATATTGTCTCCAGATAATCTGAGCTGAACCATTGATTTGCATTAATATAAGAGCGCAGTCATTGTCAACAGGACACATAACATGAATGGGCAGTGGTCACATATGTCCGAGTCATGTAATGTACACGTACACACTATAAAAAGAAAACACATTGATACGTTTTACATTATGATAACAGCATTCGCATTCATCTTGGTAAAAGATTCTCGATGCCCTTTAAAATGCATCATTATAAGAAATGCATTCGAAGGAATAATATACAGACAGCACAATTATAATCAGAAGCATTTAGGGGGTCATTTTAGAAAACTTTAGCAAGGTGAGATATTGGTGTCCCTATGGCCACCAAAAACTACCTTCCCTTTTTAATGATCACTTATGTTTTGTAATAGAAGGAAGAACATGTTCCGAGAAGGCAAAGTTCACAGTACTGCAGCCCTGCTGAACAATAGCAAGCTGTGAGAGGAGGCTGGGCCACATCTTGACTTTCTACAGGAAGTCCAGATTTGCATAATAGAGATCCCCCCCGCTTTCAGGCATCTCCAGAAGGAAGCAAAGTTAAGCCAAGTAGCTGAAGGTCTCTTATTGGATGGAAGTGGTGGTTTGGCAATGTTGGAAACCACTACAGGTACACTTTATATAGCAATGATAAACCATACTTCTATCTCTTTCAAAGTTGTGTCAAAATATGTGCTCGATGGATTCACCTTTTTCATGCAGGAAAGTATGAAGACTATATAGTCGGAAAATACAGCAGCTGTAGCTTAGAATTCAGTTTCATCTTCAGGAACCATTCAAAGTAAAACCACAACACTAATACAGAAGCACCATGTAGATTCCAAACCACGGATCCCACTCCCAGTGGTCATCCCCATTCCAATGGCACAAGTGTTATCTTAGTCCGCATGTCACCATACTAGAATCCAACTTTTTCCTCCACGCTCCAGAAGTGCTCGTCGTTTTCAGCTGTGTTTAGTTCATTCGAGTTAATGGCATACAGCCCTCTGTGGCCGATGCGTGGTCTAACCACACATGGGCTGTATTGTTCATTCATCACAATGTGGTAGTGTTAGTACTCTCAATACCAGCATCTTTAGCCATAGAAGCAAAGTGTCCTCCTTTATGTAGGAGCGCCTCCGGCTCACCGTACTCTATGATTTTACCTGCATCCAGGACCATGACCCTGAAAAGAAAGACACAAAAAAATGTGGTTTAGTGCTATCAGCCATCGCATTGGGAATTATACCCAGATAGCAAGCAATTAAGCTGCAAGTTTGAAAATGACTTGCTAAACTGTTGCAGACTTGCCAAGCTTCACAATTTTGTTGCACAATTACAGCAAGTCTCCAGATCAACGTGCTTTGCAAAAGTGCTGTACACTTGCAGAGCTCTTGCTAAGACCTGCAGGACTCTTGCTGTAGACTTGCCAACAAATTCAAAAAGTGTCAACTAGAACTTGTGCTGCGAATGTTCTGCAAGTCTACAACTTGCCAGGAATGTGTGCAGCAAGTTAGCAAGTTACAATTTAACCCTGACAAAAGTTTGTGGCAAGTTATCCTTGCTATCTGGGTACTTATTCAGTTACATTATGTCTACCACACATCTTTTTGCAGACCTTTTAACCTTTACATTCCTCTGCAGTTTTTTTTGTTTTCCAGTGCTGAAATCTGACCACAAAAGCTTTAGGCCCCGTTCACACTGAGCGATGTATCGCGCGGTAATTCCCGCGATATCGTGGCTATTTACCGCGCGATATCGCTCTCCAATGCTTGGCAATGGGGCAAAGGGTCCTGCTGTCGCGGGTCGTGCGTCGCTACAGCAGGACCCTTTTTGGAGCTGATTTTGCCGCGATTCTAGCTTGCTCAATGCAAGCATTTGCGCGATATTGCGCGACAAATCGCGCGATATCGTGCAAAATGCAAATCGCGCGACAAACGCGCGATTTACGAATCGCGCAGTGTGAATGGGGCCTTAGGCTCTGTTCACACCTAGGCGTATCAATTACCGTATTTTTCGCTCCATAAGACGCACTTTTTTCCCCCCAAAAGGAGGGGGAAAATGTGCCTGCGTCTTATGCAGCAAATCCCGACGCCCGAGACATGCAGTTTCAGGCGCCGGGCGAGTAGTAGGAGTCACTGCTCGGCTTTAATACGAGTGATCTGATGAGATCACTCGTATTAATCTGATGAGATCATAGAAGCTGTGACAGAAGCTGTGACAGAAGCTACAGTCTGTCGAGTGCTCCATAAGGCGCACAGGACCTCCCTGCGTCCTATGGTCTGGTGCGTCTTATGGACCGCAAAAAAACGCACGTTTCCGAGGGCTACTTGGCTGTATCCCAATGGAAACGCCTGACAAAAACGCTGCAAAGAAGCTCATGTACCTTTTCAGGCGTAGGCCGTTTTGTAGCTCGTTCAGACGGGCTGAAATACGGCAAGGTGTGAACCATACCCATAGAAAACAATGGGATTTTCATGTTTGAGCGTTTTGTAGAGCGTCCGTAGAGCGTTGAACGCGCTACAAAACGTACAGGTGTGAACCAGGCCTTAGGTATGCATGTGTATCTGGAGCTACTACAGTGCTGGCCACAATCTTCTGGGCCCTGTACTGCGCTGTGGTGAGCAACTTCTTCTCTGCTCTGAAATAACTGGCTCACTCGCTTGGCACAGCGGCCATTCCAAGAACGCATAGTATTTTTGATCAATGAATACAAGGCGTTTTTTGATTGGACAAGAAGTGGTGACATCACAATCCGTCCCTCATGTAACCAGAGAACGCCTTGTATTCACTGATAAAAAAATACTTGGTGTTCTCTGAATGGCCGATGTACCAAGACTCTATGGGGGGAATTTAGCGAAACTAGAGCAGACAAAACCTGTATCGGCTGTGCATGGCAACCAATCAGCTTCTCTCTTTCATTTTCCAATCTTAACTGAACAAACTGAAGAGAGAAGCTGATTGGTTGCCATGGTCAACTGCTCCAGTTTTGATCTCCCCCTCTGTGTATTCAGAGCAGAGGGAAAGTCAAACAGTACAATGCAGTACCGGACCTGTGGACCCATGGTCAGCACTGTAGTAGCTCCGGCTGTACACGATCCCCAGTGGCCAATCATGAAAGACATATGCTTACTTACACTGGGCCAAGCTGGACCAATATAAATATGCATAAAAAGTTATACCTGTAGTTCAGGTTTAAATATATCCCTTGATGGCCACAATGTATATAAATCTACTTTATGTCACCAAACGCCTTTGCACATCCAGATAATACCTATAGTGGTGGTGACATCAGCACTGTACAGTGAGCAGAGGTCTAGGTGTGTCCCAGAAGGTCCTCCCACTACAGGCTGTCTGCAGAAGGTTACAGGAGACAAGACCAGTCAAGAAGAGCGTAGACCTGACTGGTCTTTATTAAAGAAAAGTGCTGTGAGTTGCTTTATGATGGATTACTGCACAAACCTTGAATAAAAGCAAAATCTCCCCAGTGGGGCACAGACAGAATAAACCCTGACAAAGGTTCCGACCCTTCCACACTCTATACACAGCAATAAAAACGGAAGAAGAACAACTGTCCTTACTTGTTGCTGTCCATGATTGTGTGCAGACGATGTGCGATGGTCAGCACCGTACAGTCTGCGAATTCGCTGCGGATTGTCCTCTGGATCAAGTTATCGGTCTCCAGGTCCACCGCCGCCGTGGCTTCATCCAGAATCAGGATTTTGGATTTGCGAAGCAAAGCCCGAGCCAGACACACCAGCTGCCGCTGACCAACACTACGCAAAACGACAGTTGTCAGTATATCACAGGTATGTTCAGTGCAGAACTATCCATCCAAATATGAAATACAATACAGTCATTTATATAAGTGGCCAAGGGAAAAATGGTTCTAGTTGCCCATAGCAATGAACAATCAGGCATAGTCTCTGAGAATGAAAAAAACTTGTTGCTACACAAGAAGTTCTTACTTTAAGGCTGAGTTCACACCTAGGCGCATCGAATGTCGCGTGTTTCGTGCCGAGCGTTTTTAACGCGATTCGCTGTAAAAAAGACGCGTGACAATCGCGCGTTTCCGAGAGCTACCTGGCTGTATCCCAATGGATACGCGCGGCAAATACGCCCCAAAGAAGTTCCTGTACTTCTTTGGGCTGTAAAACGCCCAGGTGGGAACCATGCCCATAGGCAATCATTGGTTTTCACTTGTTGAGCGTTTTACAGAGCGTAGGAACGCTCTGTAAAACGCCCAGGTGTGAACCAGGCCTAAGCATCTTTATAACTAAGGTATCTCATGTATGTGGTGGACCCACTATCTCTGTCTGGAGGATAGAACCTACAAAGCAAAGCTGTGTATAAAGGTCGTAACATACAGGGGGTAAATAGTTTTCTTTGTTACCCCTCTTGGTTTTCATCAATGGTCTATTTTATTGGCCTCTCTAGGTCACTCTAAAGAAAAGGGCTTCTGTCCTATCTGAATTATAGCTTTGAGTGGAATGTGGGTAAAATGTTATCTTCCTTTCCAATTCTGCCACCAGGATCCGACTCCTCTTCTGATCCCCTCCTTTCCCTGCTTCACCTTTTTCTGTCTGTTGGTGGTGAGGGAAGCTGATGGAGGACATTATGGATATCATTATGGTATTATTATGTGGGATTAATATTAGTACCACTACATCTTTTATCTCCAGTACTCATCCCTAGTAATGTACTGACAGCTCTCTTGCTGCCTGCCCTTGATACATACTTCACGTTAAGATCAATGACATGTATTGTCACAGTTGACACTGCCCGTTGCTACACAGAAAGTTAGCCGGGGGCCCTAAGTTGATATGGGGTCCTGTGATTTGTAGTTATGCCCCTGAGCTGCAATTGAGATGTTCTTAGGGTTCTCATTCACATTTTTGCACAACAACCCATATTAAGCTATGTTGACCATACCAGATGGAGGTAAATGGACACTCCTAACATTGTGTGTTCCATGTGAAGGGTGAAGGGCTGCTCCTGCACAGCAGTATAAAGATGTAGATATTACTCAAGTCTGTCTTACCTCAGGTTCTCTCCTCCCTCACTGACTGCATAGAAGAGTTTCTCCTCTAATCCTTCCACGTATGGCTTGAGATGTGAGAGTTCCAGAGCTTTCCACACTTCCTCATCTGTGTACTGGTCAAACGGGTCCAGATTCATTCTCAGCGTTCCAGAGAACAGAACCGGATCCTGTAAAACCACATCTGAATTCAGCATATGACATACCCTTAGAATTGCAATCTCCCTGCTTATCCATGCCTGTCAATAGTTAGCTAACCTAGGGAGTGTGTTCATCAAAAGGGAAGCCAAGGTTGGCTTTTTTTTATATTACAAAATACATAATGAAATATCCAGGGAGCCCATGTCTTCAGACTACTTCACCAGAAGAAAATCTGAACTGGCAGCACCCTTCATTAACCCAGTAAAGCTCTCGGAGGACATCGGAAAAAAGGTGAGATCTAGATATAAGTATGCAGTATATATAACGTATGTGCACTTCCTCTTATTATATCTATATATAGTGTAAGTATGCAGTATATATAATGTGTGTGCAGTTTTCGGGGACATATTGCCCTCTCTAGACCTTTACCTGAGGAATGATGGTCAGTTTCTTGCGGAGGTCATGGAGGCCGACGGTGGAAATGTCCTGGCCATCAACCAGGATTTGGCCACCTGCTGCTTCAATGATCCGGAAAATGCAGTTGGTGAGTGAAGACTTTCCAGCGCCTGTTCTTCCGACTATCCCCACCTGGAGGGCACAAATCCGAAGAAAAAGTAAAATGATTACATTTACTAAACAATAAGGGGTGATTTGACATCACAAGAATAGCAATGCTCCGCTGTAGACACAAGCACCTAAATATTCTACGAATATGCTCATTATGAGTGAAACGCGTCAAAGGGAGGAGCTCAGGTGGTCTGCTGTCTTTCTTCTTTGACTGTAATAAAAGAGGGGTTATTTAGGCTGAGCTAGACCAGAAAGCTTGTATTCCAATCAAAGAAAGAAATTGGGCATGTTTTTTCTTTAAGACCAGATTCTCTCAAGAAGATTCAGCCAACTAAAAACATATATTTCAGGTATAGATGCACTCTTATAAGCCTAATCACCCACTGTCATCTAACATGGTTTACCATCCTGTTGCTGTTCTACATTTTACACACAATGCTGGGAAAAATAGCAAATGAGGGATAAAATGGACAGAAAGCAAGCCAGTCTTATAAATACATGGGTATGAAAGTTTGTCTGCTTTAATAAATTAGACAAGCCAGGGACATGAGACTCCCTATCAAATGTAATAAGAAGATCCGGCAAAACCTGACATTGTAGGTCACATAACCTGCGCCAAATCTGCAATATGGCCACCAATGTCGCTAAAGTCTTCGCTCACTAAAAACTTCTGCCAATGTGGCTCCAGGTCACAATTTTAAAGGTGATAATGAAGTACATGGAATATTTCATAGCACTGCCTGTCTAATCAATGGAAGGTGGTATGCCAACCTAAGTCAACATGGTCATGGTCAACATGCAGAGAAGTTCCAACCACTGATCTTTTTTTTTTCCGCAAAGGGATAACTGGATGAAAATACAGGTCAGTATCCCTCAAACACACATTCTTACTCATTGGTCTGAGTGTGTGCAGACATCTCCAGTGCCAGCTTTATTCATTGGCATCCAGAAGCACCAATGTAGCTGTTGGAGCAATTCTTTGAGAATAATCAGCAGGAAGGTCTTCTGAAACCATTGAAATGCTGATCATCTCATATTTAGCGCTACCTTTAGACATAAACTGTACTTCAGGATATTTATTAGCCACACTTGGCTTTCAGTACTTTAATGACATCAGTTTAGGCACATTATAACATGATTGGGCTTGACAAACTTTTGTTCCAGTCACAAATGTAATGCTTTTGTCTTCTGTGCTGGTGTTAAGGTCCTTGCCTTGTATTGTCATTGACTTTTAGGAAATGCAAAGAATTATTTTACCTTCTCCATACTGTCCACAGTACATGTGATCCCATGGAGGATGAGGTCCAGCTCCTCTCGATAACGCACCTTGTAGTCCACAAACTTCACAACACCCTTATCGGGCCAGTCCTGTGGTGGGCGCTGATCTGTTTCCCATGGTGCCTACATGATAACCAGACAAAAAAGTGAGGGTTTTATGCAGACCAGGCTGTGTTTACTGGTTGGTTGATTCCCATTAACATATTCCCAAGTGTCTACTGCTGTCCACATTTTGGAGCTGAGTCTTCCAGCTACATGTACCACCTACAGTACATGCAGGTACTTATAGACACAAAATAATGATTGTCTAATCCAGATGAATACAACCAGAGCAGAAAACAATTGTCTGGGATAGGTGTGAATAGTCATTCTCCAATCTGGTGAAGGAGAAGTGCAAAACGTACCCTTTTTATGTTGACCCTTTCAATATGACTATAAGAATGACCATGGAGTCCTCACTGTGTGTTATAGAAGACCTGTATCAGAACATACCTCATTCTCCACCTTGATGTACTCATCCACACGTTCCACAGCCACAATATTGGTCTCCAGCTCTGATGTCATCCTCACCAACCAGTTCAGGGTCTGTGTGATCTACAAAATGGAAACAGACACAAGCTGGTACAATGTTCCATGTGACAAGTCCATAGGTTATAGTTCATACATACACACAGGTTACAGTTATAATACAATATATACCGTTGCAATATAAGGAACAAAAACTTCTACTGCTGTGAATTATCACAGGGGGAATCACATCCCAGTTTGCTGTCCATGTAAAAGGCAGTACTATCAAAGGAGTTTCCAAAACTGATTTTTAATGACAGGATTTATGACTCCTTGTAAATTACAAGTTGGTTTATGTAAAAGAGGCTTCAGTAACACATAAATAAATACAGTTCCAGAGAACGTCCAAAAAAGATTTTTGTAACTGAGGGCCAATTCTACTCTAAAGTAATATTTTCATATCAGATCGGATCACCTAGAAAAATAAAGTTGAACTACAGAAAAACCCATAAATCTATTTAAAATACATATATATAAAAAATTGTGACCTCCAAGAGGATTGTAATTATATTAAGCCAGTCTTGTAATCCAAACTGGACAGGTCTTGGATATCTCCAAGCATTGTACTATGGTTAGGCACCAACCAATCATACGTACAAGTACAAGATTCAATCATGAGTACCTATCTTCCAGGTTATTATGACTCACGTTAAGGGCTGAAGAAATAGACAACCCAACGGTTCCGCTGTCCAGCGTGTTTCGGGCCAGCACCGCAAAGAGAGCTGCAAAGAAAACTGTGAGGTTCCCAACGAACTCCAGACGAATGGCCAGCCACCTTTTGGAGATACATCACATTTACATGCATCAGTTATCATATTATTGACTAATTCAGGGAGTTTTTCAATTTGGGTGGAGTGATTCAGAAATTTGACAGCTTACTGTTTTTTTTTGTCTCCAGGACCTCAACAGGATCAACTTCCCCGCCACCCTGAAAAGCCAAGCTTCCTTTTACAGCTGAGCTTCTATTATCACTACCCAAATGCATCCAAATGGAAGAAAAAGATGGTGACTGGTAAGATTCTACAGCACGGCTCTTCTCTGTACTGTCTAGTGCAGGGGTAGGCAACCTGGGCACTCCAGCAAAATCATGCCTCTGGAAGTCATGTCTGTGGCTGTCAGTCTTGCAATGCCTCATGGGATCTGTTGTTTCACCACAGCCGGAGTGCTGAGGTTTCCTACTCCCGGTCTAGTGGAATCTAGTTAGGGCTGCAGGATGCATGCATTTTACTTTAAATGTTCACAATCACAATGCACTTTTAAAGAGCTCCATTCAACTGTCCTAACAGCAGACTGCAGATCATTGCAAAACAAACAGGGCTTTCTTTAACTCTGCAAACAAAAACTGCTAGTGGGGAATGGTGCTGGTTGAGAACACCATATTTTTCAGGGTCCATGACTTTCCCCAGCACTAGAAGACACAGCACAAGGGTTGCCAACACATTTGGTGAAAAGGAACCCTTACAAATATAGTGGACTGACGTCAGCTGGTGACACCAGCATCTCAGCTAAGAAATAGACAAGGTTGAACAGAACTAGTGACACCAGAAATACTGACCTGGTGACGCCAGAAACTCAGTTAGGAAATAAAGAGGTGTGACCTGATCTGATGACCCCAGAAGCTCAGCTAAGAAATACAGAAGACTGACTTGATCTGGTGACACCAGAAGCTCAGCTAAGAAATACAGAAGTCTGACTTGATCTGGTGACACCAGAAGCTCAGCTAAGAAATACAGAAGTCTGACTTGATCTGGTGACATCAGAAGATCAGCTAAGAAATACAGAGGACTGACCTCAGCTGGCTACCCCAGAAACTCAACTAAAAAAGACTAACCTCAGGTGGTGACAGCAGAAGCTCAGATCACTCAGAACCCATCACAACTATGCTGGAGACAGGGTAGGGATGGATCTCTGAATCTCAGAGGACTGTCAAGTCCCAGTATTTAAAATGTATGTAAAGTCCAAATATGTTTGTTTTTTTTTAGTTTTGGATAGAGTCAGGAAAGGTTAGACCCCTGTCAGTTTTTTCTATGTATTTATCCTTTGTTGTCTGGAACAGTTGTGAAGATTTCCCCTCACCTCCTGTTTCAGTGACATCTATAAACGTTTAGATTTTCCATATCTTTCTGTCCTGGATACAATACTCACCAGAACAAGTGGAGATATTAAATATCCCCCGCAGTGATACAGACAGCAGAAACCTAGCAGGGGTTTAATACTTCCTCCCTCTATCCAAAACACTTAAAAAGTTTGGGCTTTGCATACTCTTAAAACCCTTGCCCACTTTAAACTGACTAGATCATTTTGGATGGTGTTCCACGTTTCATTGTGTGCAGTACCTGTTGGAAACAATCCAGGAGTAAACGCTCTGCTGATTGATGTCAATTGTGTCTTCATTATGCTGGAGGAACCTTTGCTGATGTCCATAACCACGGATGACTGACAGTCCAGACACCGTCTCCCCAAAGTGGGAATAGATGGGGGACCTTGTGACAGAATCCAGTCGTCGCAGCTGTCGTGAAGTGGTGACATAAAACCTCTAAATACAAAGAAAAGAAACACTTCACTATACAATCTTAGTGTCTGACACACACAATAAGATAATAAGATGAAACAAGGAACCTTATTCATCAAAGTATCTGGACAAAGATGAAAAATTTAAAGTCTGTGTAGGCTTCTTTTTTTTGGCACAGCCCAGAACCTGTCATCAACACAGTTGGATGCAACCGTTAGCATTGTTTATAAGGCATATAACAATACTGCTACACCCCCATGGCCCTGCAGATTGGTCATTAGACAGAGACTGTTGTGTGATATGTTCACTTTGTTAGAATCTCTTTTGTAGGGCGAAAGATGAAAGATTCTCAGGAGGTCTCCAGAGCAGGAGTTGGATTAGGTGGACATCTATTGTGAAGCTATGGCACTATGGCTTGCAGAAAAGCCATGCTGGCTCCTCCCTATGGAGATTTAATGTTTTGATTGGTTTCCATTTAGGGTCTGCATTGATAGGCTTTGGGCCTGAGTTAATGGCATCAGTCTGAGACACTTCTAAGATCATTCAAAATTAATTGGCAGGTTCATTTAACCTGCAGTTGATCTCTTTTTGACCTGTTTTAAATGGATTTTACATTCCCATAGACTTTTTTAAAGCAATATATTTTCATTCCTGTTTTACAAACTTAAGGAATTTATGTGACAGGCGCCAGTAGTGCAATACGTTGTCAGGGCACAATGGCGCAATTAAACTGACAGAGTGGTCTCACATATAACTGAATTCCTTGGCTGCAATGTTAAGATGTTAATTCAGGTAATTATAAAATGATGACACAAATTTCACAGCGGGTCAGAAAACATGGGTCTGCTGAATTGTTAAGAGTCAAAGTTTGGACATCATCCGTGCCTGCCAATGGGTAGAAGAAAGAAATGAAGGAGCAACAGAGAGTGCAGGGCAAAAAGGAAGAACGAAAGCAGAGACAAAGTATAAAAGACTTCCAGTGAGAGCGTCCAGCCCCCAAATTAATAGTTGTGTTCATGAAACCGCAGTCATCTCATGGGGTACTCCAATGACTAGAACGTGCAGAGATGAGTAGAGTTAATAAAAGCTACGCAAACACTCCAGATTTCAATAGATTTTGAGTATGCATCATGTATTTGAGGTACGAGCTCCTCCAGGCACATCAAGCGGTTAACCTCTGCCACCCAGTCCTAGATTGAAGGGGTCATCATTACCTCCCCATGCCTGGAAATCAGCACTCTTCCCACCAGGAGTAGAAGGATCCCTTTGAAGATTAGCAGGAAAGTAATCCCAGTAGTACAGGTTGGAAAGCGACTTCATAGGAGGGTCATAAAGTGGCCCCTGCATTCCTATTGACATGTATGGGAATACAAAACCTGCTTGAAGCGAACAAAAGCCTATAGACACAGGTCCATATAGTGTAATCAAAGTCTTTCTCCAGGCCACATCAGGAAGGGCTGGTTTAGGGAAAACTTAACTTTTCTAACAGAGAAGAACCTCTGAAAATACCTTTCAGGTCTTAGGCAACCCTTGCTAATTTAGAGTTACCGTATCTAACGCTCATGGTACATTAGTGTGAACAGTAAGAAAAACATGAAAGAATGTGGTTTACATGGCATACGTGATACCTAAGGATGCTCTATACAGTATGAGTAATAATATTGAGATGAAATCATAATAATGATAAGGGATAGAAAAAAAGGTGGAGAAATGTTTAATTACATTGATAGTCAATAGAAAAATTCCTCTCTTACATTGGTGGCCATTTATAAGAATGTCCCTTACATTGGTGGTCGGTCACCAGAATACCCCTTACATTGGTGTTCATTGGGAACAATACCCCCTTATAGATAGCTAAAAAGATTACAGTACTAGTGTCAGTGGTTACATATCCAAAAGTGAAAAATTGCTAAATTTCTCATGGAACCAGTAGCAATCTCTAGAGCAGTGGTTCTCAACATTTCTATGGCCGGGACCCCTTGGTAACATTTGCCAAGTTGTGGTGACCCCCCAACCTTAAAATTTAGGAATGACGGGGCTGCTGCGCTAGGAGAGGGCTGAGGAGGACTCTCACCTAGCACAGCAGAAATCACACAGCGACCCACAGCTTGAGAACCGCTGGCGTACACCGTCAGAATAAAAAAAAAAAAAAACCCTAGGAATGCATAGCTAGATTCCTATTGGCTATTTCACTTTGCAATAGCCAATAGCACACGAGCTATTGAACCCGCCCTCTGCTGCTTTCAATCAGTGGTGGGTAGCTGATGGAGAACTTCCAATCCCCCTCTGCTGATTGGCAGCTGCAGAGGGCGGGTACAATGCTAGTTTGCTATTGGCTATTACGAAGTGAAATAGCCAATAGCAATCTAGCTATGCATTCCTAGGGTGTTTTTTTTTTTCGTGACTTACGGCGGCCTACAGCCCCCAATGTCAGACAAAAAAGGTTTCCTCTGCTCGGGAGAAACTGTTTCTCTCCCAGGCGGCCGGGAGCCGCTATCTAATAGCAGGAGACTCCCGGGCGACCCCTGGCAAATCGTCATTCGACCCCCGAAGGGGTCCCGGACCCACAGGTTGAGAACCGCTGCTCTAGAGAAACCCAAGTTGAGAAAGGCTGGCTTAGAGTAAGATGCGTCAAAACAAGACGATGATACATCCCTATGAAAATTATCACCTTATGTCTGAACAATTCACGTACTATAAAAAGAAAATAAATATTCCGTTTACCAGGACAAAATAATAGCAAATGGCCAGAGGGATGATGATGGCGGCAAAGATAGGTGTGGCCAAGCAGACAACAAACAGGGTGCTGATGACTCCCAGTATGCAGGATATCCAGCTGCGGAATGACATGGGGATGGTCTCGTCCACCGTGAAGATGTCCTGCAACGCAATGTGTTTCACAATGAGCATTCAATACATAAATCTGCAGCAATGTCTAAGGATTCATTTGTAAGGTCCTCACATTTACTTTGCACTCTGTACAATATCTCCAAGACATATGTAATCATATTAGTATTACGACCTTGTAATGCTGAGGTCTTTGGACTACTTTATATATTCTCATGATTTGGAATTACAGCGTCTCTTTAATTGCACTAAACTGAATACTGTCCCTCTAAATGCTTCCTGTCAAGTTTCTTTGTATTCTTGCTATTGTGTAAAACCAAAAATAAAGGATTTTTTTTAAAATGGATACTGAATTGAATGTTTCAAGAGCTTATTGTAGGTTCAAGCATATCAGCATATCAAAATACTAAAACGTTAGCCCCAATATCCGTTAAATGTAAACGCGACAATATGAGGAAATGAACTGACCTTGGCGAACCTGTTGACGATCCTCCCGGTTGGAGTTGTGTCAAAGAACTGCATAGGAACGTGGAGGATATTGCGGAGGAGCTGTGAATGAAGGAGCCGTGATGCTCGCACCGTACCAGCAGCAACCAGAAACGCTCCAATAAACACAAAGATCCCTACAAGGGTCAGATATCACTTCTTTATTATCTGCACCATGACAGTTATTATCAGAGAGTGGTCTACAATTACCAACCCCGGCACTTAAAGAAAAACACCACTTTCACTACAAAATATTATACAATTGCTACACAAGCTCTTTCGTAATTGAGTATTTTACAAAATTCCTTCTCCAGCTCATTTTGCAGAAACGATCATTTTCTAAAATTTGCAAACCTTCTCTTGTAATATGGCAACCTGGAGGCATTGCGTTCACTCAGGGCCATCCCTATTATGTAGGGGGTGGGGCTGCACAATGTTTGCAGTGTGCCTGCCGCCCCCTTTCCAGCCGGAGCATCCCAGGTTGCTAAGGGCTGGGTGAGGAGATGTGTAAGGGTCGTAAATATATCCCCACCCAGCTCTTAGCAACCTGGGACGCTCTGGTCAGCATCCCACCCAGCTCCTAGCAACCATTTCTGGGGAGGAAGATTCACCCGTCTTTCCCCCCAGAACATGCACCGCCAGCACCCCTGTGTACACTGTATGTGCAAAGAAATCCACCCAGAAATGTCCCTTCCTGATTGTGTGCATGGCTTGCTGCCTTTCTAGGTAGTCCTCTCTGAGAAACAAGTCAATAAGAGTTTCAGTGAGATTTTTTCTGTGGTCATTCCTCATCTATAGGGATGCAGACTGCATCTTTTCATCGTGCATTGTGCTCTCCCCCACCTACCCAAACATTGACTGTGATATTTAAGCTGTGCTGGACATTTACCTCTATTACTCTCCTCAGCAGCAGAATGACCCTAATACTGCCTATAACACTGGATACTCTGCACCGAGTGCCCGAGAGGACGTAGCATACAGTTAGCCATAACCGGTTTGAATTTCAGCCGATTCCTGCTGAGCTGTAGGTGGCCTTGCAAATCCAGGCCATGGGTGGCCCTGCAAGCACCACCGGCTTATCAAAACTCAATATAAACTACTGAGCTGGTTGGAACATTATCGGCCAAACAGTAAGTGCATCTTATCAGATTCATCAGGCTTTCAGGCAGTTGCTGGTGCAATGGCTGCCTAAATGCAATAGCGGGCAGGTGGAGAGCTGTGCATGAAGCAGTTGTGATGCCTCTTGTCACATACTTCTATGTTCCCTATGTACCTCCTTCTTGTACTGCAACATGTAGACAAGCCTATAGGGCTTCCACGCTAACATTGTAGATGGAGGTTTCTAATGATTATTCTCCTTTGGCCTGGGGGGCTGAATGATACAAACTGAGCTTTGTATAGTCAGCCTAGGTGACTCCTTGTCATGCTGGCATTCGTTTTTCACAGTTGGTAGCCCTGTTAGCTATAACCCTACCATTGCTGTCATCTGCCTTGAATGGTCCCGATTTTTAGCCTCCATATGCATGCTAGTATGGGAACTGATTCAATCATCTTCCCAGTCCAGGTAGACTAAAGCCTTGCCTAAATGTTAGAGCACAAGAAAAAAGTTTAATAAGCATGTGACAAGAGGCTGCAGACCTGCCAAGGGACACTAGACACTATTAAAACCTATTAAATGAGGCTCCTATAACCTACAATGGAGATAGCTCAATGACTGAACAATGCATGTAAACCAGCCTCCCAGATTACCTTGTGCCACTCCCAAGGCCCCATAAACGCCAACCCTCATGTCTCTCTGTGAAGACGGGTAGGTCTTGTTGTTATAGGCCTCAGCATCTTTAGTCCAGTCACTCAGCCAAATGTTTTGTCCAACAAACGCTGCATTCTGTAAGATGTAGGTGATTAAGATCCAGATTGAGTACCCCCACCCGATGGCACGCAGGTACTTCATATACACCGAGAATTTCACCTGGAAGGGCACAGAGTAGATGATTGTTACTATGCGTCATTACAAATGATTCCGGAAAAAAGCTAACTATATCACAAACATCATAAAGAGAGTTATGTACAAATTGATTTAATAGCATTCATTTCAATAATAAAAATGTTTCACATGATCATGATGTCTGTTTGGCACAATCAGCCAGGGTACAAGCTGGGGCATAAAAGTAGCTATGAACTTAGCTGTCAGCTGTAAAAAACAAGTCCCATGGTAGTCCGGTTTTGGGTCACATAACCTGAAGATGTTATATTGAATCCATGATCTACAGCAGCTCTGCATTGTGGGTGCCAACATCTTTATTTCATTTTACTCAATTCAGTTTAAACTGAACATGGGTTGAAATATTTATAAAATGAGGTTACTTTCATAATTTATTTATAAAATGAGGTGAATTGTATGTTTAAATGATCAGAAGATCTGTAGATACAGGGAGCTAAAATTCTATGCAAATTGTCACTTTTCCGTTGTGCTCGGCCCCCGCAACCTTCCTGGTTCCCAATGCACCACATTGCTCACCTTATTGATGAGCAGCCCCAATGACTAATAGGAAGGCTAAGGAGGAGGGAGAGTCAAAATTACAGGGAAAGTGTATATAATTCTTGCCCATCTCTGTGTCTACTGGTTGTTTTATCATGAGGTTTTCCCTGATGATATCTTCCGCTTCTGTTTAATCATATGCTCAGTCTGTTCATTTTCATGACAGATATATCTATATGTGAACAATGTACAGACACTAATATAGAACCTTAGATTATGACAGTTATTCAGTATCCAATAGTCAATCGTACCCACCAACCTTGGAGAAGACCCCTAAACCAGACAATTATCGATCTCGGCATCTGTCTAGTCACACAGAGTGTAATGTAGTGAGGGATTTCCTACCTTCCCTGTCTCTACTGCCTCCTTCTCAATCAGCTGTTGTCCTTTGGCCATTTTCTTCACCTCTTCCTTCTCCATCTTTTTCAGAGATCTCCTCAATGTGCCGTTCATACTAAGAGAGAAACACTCAAGTCAGAAAATTTCTATCTTATCCCATAATTATCCTTCCAAAATTGCATAAATGGTCTTAAAGCACGCCTTTCATTTGGCAATGTTTACTAAATTGCCACCATATATTAACTATTCAGCTTACAAACAATTTATTGGTCAGGAAAAAAAAAACAAAAAACCCAACTCCTCTCTCCATCTCTTGAGAACCAAATATTCTTCCAGTTGGGAGAATAATGGCCCAATGACAATGTATGTTTGTACAAAAATCTTCTATAAGAACAATCCATCTCTAGATTAAATATATAGACAGCTCCATCTAAAAAGCCATAAAAAGCTCTTGAGACATTTTCTATTTTTTCAATGATAATGGATAACGCTCTTTTTTTTTTAATTCAATGCATTTGATCATGGTGTATAACAAGGTGCATTGCAGGAAATGTGGATGGAGGTTTTAATTGTGCACATCTTTTTTAACCAAAATGACTTTGATAATAATATGAATAAATATATTTTTAGTATATGTCTCATATGGTTCTGTTGCCTTTTTTCTTTTTTGAATAACCAGGGCTGGATTTCCCACAAGGCCAGCCAAGGCAGCAGGGAGTAGAGGGGCAGCAGGGGTGTGGTATTCCTTTCTCCTGATGCCCGGGACATGCAGTTCCGGGCGCCGGGCGGGTAGCTGTTTTCTACATTTAGCCCTGCTTTTGGCAAGCAGAACTAAATGTACAGTGGGAAAGCCGCCACTTGTTTTGTACAAGTGATCTCGATGATGCCGCCAAGATCGCTTGTATGCAGTCTGAAGGTCTGCCATTCTCCATGGGGGGGTGGGGGGGGGGTGTTTGGCAGGTAGGGGGGTGCAGTGAGGAACCTGGCCTTGGGGCAGCAGAGAGAATAAATACGGCCTTGCTTATAACAGTGTATTTCCCTAACTTCTGATATTTTGAAGTCAGAGTACCCCCCTCTTTTTACAAATACAAGTTGGGTTTTCTTTTCTTTGGAATAATTTATTTCTTGTGATTTGAGCTTCCATCTACTGTTTGGAGGCGCCATTACTCCAACACCAAAGGCCTTACCCAAAAGACCAGGCTAGTGGTAGGGTACAGTAACCCATAGTAATACATGAGAATTTCCTCTGCAGAAGTCAGACCAGGACAAGATGAGTTCTCATTGGTTGATGTAGAGTTAAGCACGGTTTATTAAATAAGGCCACATAACAGACAGAAAGCATGGAGGAAATACCCCACCAGCTCATCATATTCGGTATACAAGGTAATTATAATACTATAATTGAAAGTGCAGAAAGTGATATAAACTTATAACTCAGTCGCCCGGCCCAGTATCATGTCAGTCTCACCTGCCAAGTCTCTTCTTGTGTAAACTGTTTTCTCTTTTTAGTGTCACACTCACAATGTCCTCCGTCACTTTTGTAGCTTCTTCTACTGGATCCTCGCTGTCGTCATTGTCATCCTCAGCCAATAATACTAGAAGACAAGCAAAGGCCAATATGAAGACCATAGGAGATTGAGAAATTTATGTTACAGCAGCAAAACTACAGAGTATCTAGTGACTCACCTGTCTACCATTTAATCTGGAAGATTTTTGCCCCAGTGAAACAGTAATTTAGAGTGCTGGAGAAGTAGACAGGGAAGAGGGAGAATCCCTGCAGGGACAGTGGCTGACAATCACATTCTCTCCATTGGAAGCAGAGACCAAGAGCCGACTGAGAGTATGAGAGTATAAGCAGAGTATGTGTTTTACTCTCCAAATTCTTTATCTTTTAAGCCATAGTCTGCTAACGGTCCTTTCGTTAACCTGTTATAGAGCAGTCTAGAAACAGTACACATTTGTATGTCTTCAGGTCCACCTCTGCTGATTGACAGCAGCAGTGGGTGGGTGCAGTAGTCATCCTGCTATTGGCTATTCCAATTCCAAATAGCCCATAGCAGCCTAGCTGTTCATTACCATGCTGTCTGTTTTTTGCTTTTTTTACTCTGACGGCGGCAGCTGTCAGAATTTAAAAAAATGAGATAGCAGGGGAATCAGCAGATAGCAGAGGAGCTAATGCTTCCCATGCTATCTGTTGTTTGTTTTTTTCTTTGGTGGCCGCTGTCAAAATACTCGAGCGGGGCCAGCAGCTCAATGGCCAGTGATGCTGACCAGAGAGAGGCACCCACTGTGCAAATTTCAACTAGTTCCTCAAGAACCGGCTGAATTTTGCACAGAGCTTATTATCTGTGATAATTAAATAATTAAAAAGTCTGTAAATATCGATCCAGATTATCGGTAGATCCGAATCGGTCGACCCCTACTCCAGCCTTACCTCCAGGCTTGTACAATTGTACAGGCTCCTCTCCTGTACTGAAATAGCTTACTCTGATTTCAGTGCACACTGAGAGCTTCTCATAGTTGGCATTGGAGGCTGCAGCAAGTCAGATGGCGCCCATCTCATTGGCACTTAGACATGCCGAAAGTGGTGATGGTGGTATATGGCTGCCCAATGTTTTAGATACACCGACCTAGCCATTTAAATGGAACACAATAGTTCCAGAAGGATGTATAACTATTGACATTAGATCAGAAGATACAAGATTATAATTTAATGGCAGGTGTTTGGTCTGTGATGATGGTCAAAGATGGTACCTGTAGGCTCCACATCCTGGTTGTGATCTTGCTTGGCGTAAGTCTTCAGGAACTCAGCAAAGGCTCCTTTGTTTGCCAGTAATGTTTTGTAGGAGCCGGTTTCAGTGACACTGCCGTTCACCAACACCACAATTTCATCTGTGTGCCTGAGAAAACTGACCCCGTGTGTCACCAAGATACGTGTCTGAGGGGAGACCATGACAATATCAACAAAGTTATTTTTCTCTCTCATTCTTCCTCTGAGGCCTGCATTTTGTTCATAAGGAATGCTTTAGATATGGAATTAATCAGTTATAACCTATCCACATTTATATGCCAGCAAATTAATTGCCATTATGCTGCATCTACAAAATATGCAACAGCGATAATCTTTAAACTGATTTTTGTAACAGATCATGTGATTTTTTTACCCCTCACCTGCCATTTAACCCTAAATTATAAGCCATGCCTCTAAATAAATTGTTCCTCCAGCTAGGTATGTGGCACTACAGCAAGGAATGAAGCGATTGTTGGCAGCAGTACAGTAATTTCTCTTAGAAGATCTATAATCACCTTGTTTTTCAGCAATCCATTGGGACCGACCAACTTCTCAAAAATGTGTTTCCCAACATGGGCATCGACGGCTGAGAGCGGGTCATCCATAACGTAAACATCTGTGTCCTGGTAGACTGCCCGAGCCAAGCTGACCCGCTGCTTCTGCCCTCCACTCAGGTTTATACCCTGTGCCAAACAGGATCACAACGTGCTGTCATTAGTTCCACAAAATACATAATGGCTGATAATATACAGTACAAATAGGTCTATTTTTTATTTCAGGCTCTTCAGGTAGACTTTCAATTTCAGTTTTTTTATGTATTGGTGTAAGTATTTTAGGTTCTTTCTATAGTTCCTGTATGTCCGGATTTTGTACAGCCCTGCAATATATATATATATATTGTGAGAGTTTAGCTTCAAATAGTAGAGCTATAAGGACGCATGCACTCGCTGAAATCTTCATTTAAGGGCTTCATTCCCTACTTTTATTAAACTAAAGTACACAAAAACAATGCAATTTCTCTCCCAGGGGTTCTTCAGCATCTCTTGGCAACACAAGCACATGCACATCCAGCCTCTTGGTTTTGCACTTGCAGCACCACTGCTCTGGCGTCAATCCTCACACCACTGTCTATTCCTCCAGAGAGCCTCCCTGGCTGGTCCTTCTGGCTCTCTCAGCCTTTCTAAATCCTACAGTCTTGGCCCTCGTGTGCCTTCAGCACACACTCTCCACTGGCTTGGGCCTCATATGCCTCCAGCACACACACACACTCCACTGGTTTGGCCCCCGTGTGCCTCCTGCATACACACATAAACTGGCTCGAGCCCAGCTGCACCCCAATGAGGACCTCTGCAGTCACTACCAAATTATGGTTTACAGAATCTGGAGTCTGTCTCACCAAGAGCTCTATCAGAGAGTTGGCAAATCCCAGAACGGGATTTGCAAACACAGAGTAAAGAGCTATCTTTCTTTAGCTCCAGACCTTCTATACCCTGTTTCCCCAAAAATAAGACCAACCCCGAAAATAAGACCTAGCACTATTTTTGGGAATTGCTGAAATATAAGGCCTACCCCGAAAATAAGACCTAGTTGTGACCATTCCCAGGGCCAGTGGGAATGGTCACATAAGGGAGAACTTGAAGAGCCGCGGGAGAGAATCAGCGGTGCCAATTGAAGCCACTGCTAGAGGAAGCGAGGCGGCACCGGAGGGAGCAGAGCCGCACAAGCCGATGCTTCCTCTACAGCGCTGGCTCCTGTCACAGGCGGAGTGATACCAAATGCACTCCGCCTGTGAGGAATCGATAGTGAAAGCGCGCTTCGCTCATTCTGGCCAGCAATTGGTTACAAAATTACTATTGGAAAGGTACGGCACCCCTGATTGCCCTGATCACCCTATTCTTAACTTTGCCATTTTGGATTATTTAATTTGGATTTGCACTAACTTTGGATTGTTGTACAATAATAAAAAAAAGACCTACCCCGAAAATAAGGCTGTGTGAGGTTTTTTTTGAGCCAAAAAAATATAAGACAGTGTCTTATTTTCGGAGAAACACGGTATCTAAAAATCTGTGGAGAAACATATCTCCCATCCATCACTTTTCCTGCCATCCTGGCAGGTTTTACAGGCACTCTGTTACAATAATTTTAATATAGTGATTCCTTTTGGGTACAGATGTTCCTCGCTTACCGACTTACCTGTTTTGCGACCACTCACACTCATGATCTCAGACCTTATGTGAGGGAATGCGTCAGCGTCAGTGCGACGTGTCGCCGGCGGAAGCGATGTCCTCCGTTTTTCACTGCGGGTCCCGGTAAGTACTTTATTGCCCGATATACAGTACACTGTTCAGTACTGTACATCTGCAACACTATACAGTACTGTACTACTGCAGTACAGTACTGTATAGAGTTCCTCACTTTACGACCAATTCGTTTAACGACCTGGTCGTAGGAACGGAACTCGGTCGTTAAGTGAGGAATACCTGTACTAAAAAATACATTCAATATTATATATACCTTTTCTCCTATTTCAGACATGTCCCCTCCAGGCAAGATCTCCAGATCAGGCAGAAGTGCACAGGCCTCCAGCACCCGCTGATATCGCTGCTCGTCCAGAGGTGCCCCAAACAGGATGTTGTCCTTTAGGGTGGCATTCTGGATCCAAGCTTGTTGGGGAACATAAGCCAGGGAGCCCTGAAAGACACATTCACATTTCTTATCTCTAGCCTTTTTCCAGGTCAGTGAGTCAGAAAGTCAATTAAATCCTTAATAGAAAAAAAAAAAAGTGAGCAATAAAAAGTCAGCAACTGCAGCCTACACGCTTCTCTTAAGACAGCTTTTTTCAAAAAAGTACAATCACAAGTTGAAAATCCTTGTTAAACTTTATGAAGTAAGGTGGGTCATTGCTACCTTGATATTGATATGTCCATTGACGTGGTCCATTTCTCCAAGCATTGCAGAAATCAAGGAGGACTTTCCTGAGCCAACACCACCAACAACAGCAACTAGATGACCTTCTTTAATGTCCAGGTTAATACTGCACAGACAAGACAATACAATCACTCAGAACTGATTATACATGTGGATAGCAGCATTCTAGCCATGATATGGCCCTGTAACCATAGGAATATCTACATACTAGAAACATCACAGAAGACTATAAGTGCATCAGGGAAGATTACTGTATACAAACTCCATTCAGATACAGACCAAGACCCCAGTGCTATAAGGATACATTGCAAACCACTACACAACTGTGCTGCCCACATGAAAAAAACATGATGAATGACTTCTTACTTTTTTACTGCTGGGGGCGTATCTGGCTCCCAGGTAAAGGTGGCATCTGAGAACTGGATAGCTGCATCTGTAGATGAGAAATGGCCATATTGTGAGAAAGGTTGAACAATTCAGACAAGTACTGTTGCATAAAAAAAAAAGATCAAAATCTCCGATTGCATGTTCCCTGTCTGAATAGCACTTTATTACCTGTGTGGCCTTTAAACATCTCATCCCTGTACACATACATTAGCTAATAGCAGCTAAAAAGAGGAGCTCAGCTCCACAATTTATCACCATTGCTGAGCACCACGTCCTGGTGTATCATATGGTGCAGGAGGTAAATGCCAATGCATGGTCACTTACCAACAGTGGGGTCATTGTGAATGGCAGAGTTATTCAAGTCATCTCCTCCCAGGTACTTCTCCAACCGGGCACAGGAAACATTAGACTGCAAGATGAGAGCAATTACAGTAATCAGGGTGATTTCCCATTCAATACCTCGTTGTTTATAATAGAGCTGCAAAAGTTAATCGATTTAGTCGATTAAAATCGACGATTGAAAACGTTGGCAACGTTTTCGATCGTCGATTCGTCGGCTATCGATTGATTTCCCTGTTCGGGGCTGTTCCGGGCTCCACATGCGGCCTGAGCCACACGTCACACGCTGCTCCCGCTGCGGCCGCCGTGCCCACGGCACAGGCCGCGTATAAAAAGCGGCACACTGTAGAATACCACCAGCTATAGAGGAACAACAAATCCCAGCAATAATATATTAAACACCCGGTATAATGTATTATTGCTGGGACTTGTTGTTGCTCTATAACTGGTCAGTGGTAATCTGCATTGCGCAGTATAAATCATTATACAGCGCAATGCAGAATACCACCAGCTATAGAGGACTACAAATCCCAGCAATAGTACATTATAGTATAATGTACTATTGCTACATTCCTCTATAGCTGCTGGTATTCTGCACTGCGCCGCTGTATAATGTACTATATTGCACACCACACTTTGTTTTTACGTCCACCGCGCCAAGCTTGTTCCCGTGATGGACTACAATCTTAACACAAACTAGTTGTCAATCACTGGAGCCTTTTTTTTTTTATCCGATTAACCGATTAATCGAACTTAATAATCGGCCAACTAATCGATTATGAAAATAATCGTTAGCTGCAGCCCTAGTTTATAAAGCAAGCAATACCTCATTGTTTTATAAAGTTTGCACTGCATGCACAACACTTTAGGAATACTGTTTTCGGTGTTGCCTGTTCTCAGTGTTTTCTATTCTCAAAGTTGCCTGATCTCAGTGTTTACAAACAAAAAAGCTGGTACACAGCAGCACTAACGCTGAAATCATTTTATTAATCATCCATCTTGTATACAAGGTAAAAACCCCTGGTGCGTTTCAGCCTACACAGCCTTAGTCATGAGCTATGACTAAGTCTGTGTAGGCTGAAACACACCAGTGGTTGTTGCTTTGTATGCAAGATAGATGATTATTAAAAGAATTTCAGTGGAAGTGCTGTGTGCCAGCTTTTAAATTTCTTACTACTTTGATCTAGGAGAGACTTTGGCTGAGAACCACTTTAGTTATTGGGGGGTTGATTTGAGAATAGAGCATTGTATTTCTCCTCTATGTATATTACTTTCCACATTGCCTATTTTAAATAATGCATTGCAGAGCATTTTCTAAATATCAATATGTTGCAATATTGGTCTTGTAAACCTGTTTACTATCCAGTTCAATGCACTGCACAGAAAATGTGTTGCCACAGATCGTGTGCAAATCAATTCTTGTGTAAACAATCCCCCACATATAAGCGTAATTACAAACCGAACCCAGAACCTGGCCCCTATACTTAGCCCAATTCTTCATTCTACCGTCAACCTTTAACCTAACAGTGAACATAATCTAACCAAATCCTGCCCTTATTTTTAACCCCTAAAACGAGGTACTTTATCAGTGCCAAACTGATAAATGTGGCAGTGCCATCCTGTGCTGGATCCTTACAGTCTCTGTTCTGAGATTCTTAGATCTCTATGCTGGCAGGAAATTACATTATGTAAGATATATAGCAAGCTTACACAAGGAACAAAATATATAATTATGGAAAAAACAGTGATAGTTTCCAGTTAGGTGCTGCCATATTTTAACCTACTCTGTCAACATTCCCAGTGTAATCTGCTTCTGGTTGTTTCCATTCATTGACTTTCATTGCCTGTTACATTGTATACTTGTCTTACCTGCACCATGTTGGAAATGAGCATGGGCAACATGGCGAGAGGGAAGCGCAGAATGTTGAAGAGTGAGATAGAGGTAAAAGCCCGTTCTGCATTCAGGACATTACTTGGATCCAACACCACGTAGACAGCAAAACTGGCAACTGACACCTGTGGGAAGAGGAAATCAGCTTCAAATAGGCAATATTCACTGTTTAATATTCTTTTATCCAACTAATCTGTGCACATCCCAAGCCATTTCCATAAAACTGCAAATGAAGACTCCCAGACATTGTCACTATATTCTATGTTCCTGTGCGGGATACAAACTGGAACCAAACCTAAGTAATATCAGACTGTGCTTACTTGGTTCTCTTTTTAATTGTGAGTACAGGTACCTATACTGGCAATACATATACATATCAGATTCCCATAGGTGAACTCAGGTTTCCATTGAAGTTTGTGCATGGGTGGAGGTTTGAAGGATGAAAATGCATGGTGTATATTGACTAATTTGTGACTGTAGGATTCTTCTAAATGTTTTAGAACATACTGGTTTCTTCCAACGGGTTACATAAAAAAAAGAAACCAAAAACATGAATGACTGAATTTTGGGTTTAGCCTTTTTCAGTTCTCCTTTTAGTTTTCATCTTAAATGAGACCTGCCATAAGAGAAATACATGGGCTGACTGCTGTTCTTCTAAGCCACTGACCCAGAAGGAAGCAGATCAGAATTAGTTAATTTGCTTTTTGCTTGGTCCAGATTAGTGACTCAGAAAGTATATTCAAAGAGAGAGGTCACCTATGGCAGCCTACATTGTTTTCTCAAAATGGGGTTCCTTTAAATGTATATAGAACAAATAGAACAATCCAAATCCATCCAAACCCATTATTCCTGGATCATACCTTCTCAAGTATGGTATGCTCAGGAGATGGAAGGGTACACAAATGGGCTACCAGCTGAAATAATACATCAGATGGTCTTTTGTAGCTTCAGGCATGGGGATATAATACAAAGCAGTCTTTGTGTGCACACCCAGATTGCCACACAGTCAAAAGGGCCGTATTTAGACATCATGGGACAGTGGCACTCCTGGTGGACCCTTTCTTAAAGCTCCTCCCCTTGCGATTATTTTGGAAAAAAAAACAAATTCTGAAACACACTCTTGGAGGAAGCATTGTGTCTGCTTCATATTGTGAAATATTGTCCCAGCTGTACAGAGCACCAAATATGAGAAAGGAGGAATGGATTCATGTTTCATGAACTATGAAGAACCATCTGACTTCTGTCAACATCCCCTGCAACTCCTTCCTCCTACAGTTGTCCGTTTGAATTTATCCACAAATATCCAGAGGTGGACAGATGAGGGAGAGAAAATAAAGAAAAAGGTTATGTACTGAGGCTTGATGTCTCCTATAATTCTGGTACCCTTGGCTCTGGTCTACATGCACCATAATGGTGAATACAGCCCTGTGAGTCAGATTGCAGGTCACACTTGTGGTGAGTACTGAAGCAGCACATATCTCCCGTGTCTTACCAGGAAAGGAGCGCAGGTGAAGACAAACAGTGACACTGAGAAGAGGTAGGCAAAGTGTAACATGTTCTTCAGTTCCTTTTCACGGATAACCTGCACCTGCTTTTCAAATGATGGCTCCCAGGCATACAGCTTCAAGATCTACAACACAAGGCACATAATATAACACAATTCATCTTGGGAAATGTCCTACAGCTATGATGTTCTGGTGTGTGTCAGTACCACAGACATAACAATATGCTACTGGGCCCCTTAACACATTCTAGTTATGGTCTAGTTATGGTCTTCTAAACCTCTGTACACCATCTTGAACCTGTGGCCAGACTATGACAATTCACATTTTTGCATATTCATAAAAAACAGTAAATTAACTTAAAAACAAGCCCCCACTGAGCTCTGAGTGACTGCTGGGATGGGGTGGTAGGAAAAGCAGAACTGCTGAGCCACTGCTGTGAATGGGGAGCTAAGCAGCTGAGAGAACAATTAAATACTACAGACTCTAGTGAGAGCAACTAGTCACCGACACTAGAGGGCTACCAGAAGTGAACTAGATGTGCCTGATGGTATGGTCTCCTTCAATAACTTGAAGGCGGAAATTTACCTATTAGACATTGGCTTTCTCGGAGAGAGGGATTAAGTTACGTATAAAAGAAAGAGTGTGACTTGTGGATGAGTTCCTAGTTAAGTCCACGTAGTGAGAGTGTGTAAAGATAAATTAGTGGTGTAGCTTGATTAGTGTGATACAATGATAACATAGTAAAGGACTGTGATGGTGATAACTCGGGAAACACTACAAGATATTAGCATTAACACACTGTTAAACCATACTTAAGCAATAGGAAACATGCACATTTATTGAGAATAATTGTCTTTTAAAATAACTATGACCCAGCACCATTGTTAGAGAGCCTATTATGGCATCAGTGCTGAAACACACCATGTAGTATTGGAGGTGGAAATAACAGCTTCTCCAATTAGTGATATTTAGTATGGCGTGAACGCCATACTAAATATTGCACAGTCCTTGCTGACTGTGCAATGTGCTTGTAGGGCAACTCCATTAGGGGAGGGTCCAGGGTCCTGATGAATGGAGGATTCTACTTATACCTGTGCCCCTTACACACCCTATTCATCTACTTTGTAGGCACTCATTGTTGACACAGAGAAAAACATATAGGATATTTATGGAGTTGGAGCTAAAGTGATCTGAAGAACCTCCAGTCTAAAATCAATAGTTATCCAGTGAGCAAAAGAAATGAAATATCAATATCAAATATTTTGAGCTAGTGTCCAATTTTCAGCACATTATCTGGTAGGACTGTATCAGAAAATTGAAGCCAAGACTATAAACAAGTATGGAGGACACTTCAATATGCAAATTGGGTTGTACGTCTTCTGTTCCTCCACTGTAACAACCCAAATGCCAATACTTTCAGCAGGACACTGGATATTATCAAAGACTTAACAAAGCAAGGCAGGTAATACATACTAGTTCACTGCTATCTATTCCATTATTAACAGATGATTAGTGGCCTTAATTGCTCTGACAATATGGTAAGACTGCATTTTGTTTCCCCCTTACCTTGATGCCATTGAGAATTTCATTCATTATTTTCAAACGACTATCTTTGTTCTTCATGTTTTTTGTCTGTAAAACACAAAGTGTTATTAAAGAAATATTCTACAACTGATAAGTTATGATCCCTGCTTGAAATGCGTGATAGTTAAATGGCCAATGTGTCAGGATTTATGTGTTTATGCAGCCAATAATGTGGCATAGTGGGATATACCAATCCTATTGAGCTAATTGTCACTTTGAATGAAGTTCTTTACCTTGGTGGCACTCTTAGAGCAGTTCAATATGAATTCCTACCTGAAATGACTTAGATTTGGTGGCCAGCACAGCATTAATGGGGATCAGAAGGACCATCACCCCTAGGCCAGCCATAACTGCTGGCCCAAGCTCCACCCACAAGAAGACAATTGATATAGCGATCTGCATTGGTGACGACCAGATGAGGTGGATGAAGTTTGTCAGGTCCATGAACTTCTGAGCATCTGCAGACATCAGGTTCACCGTCTCCCCAACAGTCGATTCTTTCCTGATAGCATTAGAGACTGTCAAAGCCTGCAAAGGAAACAATCAGAAACAAAAGGTATTTACAAAAATAACTACAACTAGAAACTGGAACTTCTGAATATGTTCCTGCCTTCTGGACACAACAGGAAGTGAGAGGCGTCCCCATTGGAAGATTTCCTCTAAACTTTGGCCTGTCAGAAACCTATCTTTGTTTTTCCAATATTCCACAGGTGTGTTTCTTCATTCTTTTCTGTATGTCACAGAATGTCTCTTATACATCTCTTTAGCTAATGTTAACGAGTTTCAGGCTGCAAGCTACTGAAGGCCTTGCCTCTAGGAGTCAGTGGAAAGAGTTCATCTTTTTCCTAGAGAACCTCTTTAATTTGGTGGAAGACTAAAGCCATTATGTGTAGGTACAAGCTAGGGATGTTCAGATACCAGTTCAGATACCAGTGCCAATACTTGGCATTTTCACAAGAACTACCAGGGTTGCAGGGGTTGCAGCTGGGACCTAACTCTGGCGACCGACCACTGTCCTGAAATCATTAGTTTGTATTGTTTTAGAAAAACTGTCATATGACACTAAAACAAAAACGTATCAGTACTTGTATCTGTGAGTACTTGGACAAGTATCAGTACTTGTACTTGAAAAAAATGGTATCGGTGCATCACTTATACTGTATATATTGATTTTAAAAAAATCATACATTAAAACCGGGATGCACAAATCCCAGGAGCTCCGTGTGCTCCTTACAAATGACAGATGCCTCCTAACTTTTGAATTTTTCTCTAGTCTAGTCTTGGAGCTGGAAAAGTATCTGTACTTGTACCGAGTAAAGTCAGTGGTACCTCGGTTCACCAACTTAATTGGTTCCACGATTCTGGTCGCGAACCGAAATGGTTGTGAACCGAATCACATTTCCCATAGGGTGTAATGTAAATCAGGTTAATACGTTCTGATCCCTACGAACGTGGTCGCGAACCGATTTTTAGTCGAGAACAGAATCACATTTTCCCATAGGGTTCAATGTAAATCAGGTAAATCCGTTCTGAACTATGTTGAAAAAAAACACATTTGTAACCACAAAAATATGAAACAAAGTACAGTACAGTATGAAGGGAGTACAGTACTGTACAGTAATGTACAGTACTGTGCTACAAAGCACACAAAAAAGCTTCACAGTAAATGTCCACAGCCCTGTCTGCGACTGCGATCTCGAGTACAGGAAGCCACGACCATGTGTAAGATCGCCGAAGATGGCCGCAGTCGTGTTCGTCACCCGATGCAGAGTTGGTGAACGGAGGCAAAAATGTTTACCGAACTTCCTGTTCGCAAACCGAATTCTTTGCGAACAGAAGCGTTTGTGAACTGAGGTACCACTGTACTTGGTATCTGAACATCCCTAGTATAAGCTCTTCAATAAATCTGAGACAGTACTCACTTTCTTGTATACAGCAGCCATTAACGCTGTCCGGACCCGCATCCCCAGAACAAAACAGCCCTGGAAGTACTGCTGGAGACAGAGGGACTGGATTATTGCTGTTACAAAGAGCAAGACGGCGTAGAAAAACCCCTTCCACTGGTATTCCGCTGGGTTTGCAGTGAATGAGACCATCGCCCTGAAAAGCAGCAGGAATAAAAGGAAACATTTAATTTCATAGCCCTCAGGTTCCTTCAGGAAATAAGGCTGATTACAATGATATACAGTACTGTAACAGAAGGCAATTAATCAGAATATAGTCTTTATCAGTTTAGTAGTGTAACCCTAAATCATGATTAGTTCCTGTGAGATTCTGTGCACCATGAGGTGTAGCCACTAATACAGAAACCTCTGATCTTACAGGAAAACCTGTCATAATACCATTCACATTTTTAATAAAACACGTAAACTCCAAAAGTGCTTCACAAGTTGTCACCTTTCTCCATTTATACGAACATCTGAAACCTTCACTTTGTTCAGTGTTCTTTCCTCTGCATCGTTAATCTTTTCCCTCCAGCACTTTTTTATGCTTCTTCTTATCTCTAGAACTCTCTTCTACAAACTATCTTATGAATTTATGATGGCACCCTGGATTACAACTTCTCTCTGTCAACACCTGACTGAAGTTGGTAATTTCTTGTTCAGATCCAAGGCCTGAATCAGAAAAAAAGCTTGGTTCCCCCATCCATGCTAAACAATGTAAATGGGGGAATCTTCCCTGCTGGGTTTTTGTATTCTGACAGCCTGCAACTGTCAGAATACATGAATAGTGACTGCAGCCTATTGGCTGCTGCCATTGTTTGCCCAACAATTTTGGTCTCAGCTCCTTCGACAAAAAGTAAATTGAAAAACTGACCAAGTCACATTCACATACTTGATCTTTGTCGAACAGAGTGATGCGGGCAGTTTCAGCCATATTTATAGCAGAGCGAGACACTAATCTGCTATACGACTACTGCTGTCAGTCACATTCATGTACTTATACTGCTTGCATGTAAACAAAAACAATTCATGAGCTATAAATGAATGCAGGGAGTTCAGTTGTGTATTGTATTTCTGGTGATCGAATGAAGGTAAAGGTGAGAAGACAAATCCAACTAAACGGTACTTTCGGATTTTAAACCTTATCTTGATCAATGTTACAGTATAATCCAACCTAATGTAACATATTTTAGGACAATTCAAACAAGAGCAAAGCCTTACTTCAGGATCTGGGGGCTGACAAAGACTAGAAGGTCGTGAATAAGTTTGAAGAATGCCGACTGAAGGAGGATACCAGAAAAAGTCTTAATGAGGGTCTTATAGAGCCAGTACTTGGGGTAATCTTTAGCGGTTCCATCTATAGATTCTTTCTTCTTTTTCCCTTTTTTCTTTTCTTCCTGGAAATAAACCGTAATCTTGATTAGTTATCATTCAGACAACTTGCTTAGGTCTTTTATCCCAGCACTGCACAAGTATACCAAGTCGGTCAAGTCTGTAAGATCTTTTGCTTGCTGATACCCTACCATTCTGGGAACACCTAATCTACAGTGTGAGGTGATTACCTTACTATTGGAGAGATTTCATTTCATTTTCTCTTGTGTCTGCAGGAAAGGAAGTGAAGCAAAATCTCTCTAATGAATGGCAGAAAAAGCCCTATTTATATTTTAGAGCAGGAAACTTTTTATGCATAATAATGTATGGTAAAGGATTTTTTCTTAAAGTCTGGTCTGTTTATTTACTTTTTACTTTTAACCCTTTAGTGAATGAGCAGGGGTACAAGTGTTTATGAAAGGGGGTACCCCGATGCAAATAAGCTCCCCTGCCCACAGACCCCTACAACCAATGGGTCAGGGCTTGTGGGGAAGAGGCCCTTGTCCCCATCGGCATGGGGACAAAGTGTTTTTCCAAGGGGGGACCCTGAAAAAGCACCCTCCCAATGCCAAGGGCATGTGGCCTGGCATGGTGCCGGGAGGGGCGCTCACTCGCCCCTCCCCCCCTTTCCTGCCCATGCAGGCCTGTGCTCGGATTAAGGGTCTGGCTGGGAGTTTTAGGGGGACCCAACGTTTCCCCCCCCCCCATTTTTTGGGCGTGGAGTGTACCCTTAAAATCCCTATAAAGGGCCTGGCATGACTTGTGGGGGGAACCCCACTCACTTTTATTTTTTACTTTTTAACTTAGGGTCACTCCTAACTTTCCTACCAGACCTAAATGGTCTTTTATGGATGGGGACCCCACGCTGTGTTTTTTTTTATGTTTACGGAGGTAGCTAGCAGAATAATCGAGCCAAATGCCGCTAAGCAGCATTTGGCTATTCACTCACTGCTGTTCTTGTTATTATAATAGGGGCGAATGGCAGCGAGTGAACTGCCGACGGTTCGGCTCAGCCGATCCAGATGTTGGATCGGCTGAGTCGAATGTGTTCTTCACTTCAACTCAGCCGAACATGCTGAGCATGTTTGGCTGAACCAAAGGGAGCTGAAGCCAGCTGATGTACGGCTGATTTCAGCTGATATATATGGCTGAAATCAGCCGTAGAGGGCTAAAGTGAATAGCTGAACGACATTCAACTCATTTCACTTCGGCTCGGTTATTCATTCAGCTGCCTTCGGCAGCTGAGTGACTAGCCTCCTTAGAGGGTCAGTCCACCTAAAACTGTTATCCAGGGTGTGATATATTCTCTAGAGTTGAACCACCTAACAACTTTATCTATTAGGGACTCTGTTGGTGAGATCTCTCTGCCGAGTTCCCAGATTTGCACACCTGCTGTGCCCATTATAAGGGGTTCCCACTCTTCCTAATGGATTTATAATTTATTTTATACTATGCAGCAGGAAATGACCCATTAGGCAATACCCATAGGAAGTGTGTGACAACGTGGCAACTCACCACAAGCACATCCTGACTTTGTGCCTTGCTTAGGCCGTTCATTTCAAAGCTGTTGCCTTTCTGCTTTCTCTTGTTTCTACGTTTCTCCAGCTCTTTCTTGGATTTAGCTACTTCTCTTTTCATTTGTTTGTCAAAAGAATCATAAATGACTTTAGTCTGATCTTGCTTGTTTAATTCCCAGAGATCTTCTATTTCTAGTGGTCGCTTATATCCTGTGAAAACAATCCTGCAAGTCAAAATAAAAATAAAACTGGTATTAGTACAGCTGAGAATATGTTTTTGAAGGACCAAAGGTAGACATGGGACCCTAATCCTCACTGACTAGGCACACTTCTTACATGCTACATCAAGGAAACCTACACCAAGCAGAAGGATTTTTTTAAATTTACAAATGTAGAAAAACACAAATTATGGCAAAGTACATTGTTGGTCTCATTAACAATAACCATAGGTTTGTTGACCATTGCACCTTTATGAGCTTGTTGGTAATCCCATTCCAAAACCTTGCATATTAATATGGAGTTGACAACACTCCCTTCATTCTTCCTTGAGAGCTATGCTACAACAGCCTTCACTTTTCCACAGGAAGTTATGCCCATTCAGCAAAAAGAGCATTTGTGAGCTCAGGTATTATTGTGTATTATTGTGTAATAGGGTTGCTCTGGGCAAGGCCACTCAAGTTTCTCCACACTAAACCCAATAAACCAAGTCTTTATGGATCTGGCTTTGAGTACAAGGGTACAGTCATGGTGGAACAGAAAACGGCTATCACCAAACTGGTCCCACAAGGTTGTAAGTCCACAATTGTCTATAATGTCTTTGTATGCTGTAGCATTACCAGCCCCCTTCACTGGGTACACCTAAAGTCAATTCTCAGGGAGATATTTGCCTGTATACTGGCACTTCAGGACATTTGTGGGGTTTCATGAACGCTATTGTTTCCTAAGATATGTCTGGCACCAGAGTGTATGCACAGTGCATATACATGCATATTCAGCCAAAAGGATTGCACTGGTTCTTTTAAAGAACAACTTTTGTTTGGATGAATCTTCAGATTCTGGTCTCGTGTCTGGTTAGCCTAGTACTAGTGATTTACCCAAAATCTTATCGTCTGATTTAGTCTCTTGATGATTACTCCATGTATTTACTGCACTTAGATATGTACCTGGCAGTGTGCAGTAATCCTGAGCAAACAGTCAGCAGTCATCACTAATATATAGCAAAATGTACAATCTGATTGCTTGTTGTGCATTTCTGTACTTTGCACTGCTTTTAACTCTACTGTTTATTTCTCATTTATGTAATATGTTGTCATGAAAAGTCAAGCAAACACTATACTATAACACTGAAGTTGAAGAGGAAGTACTTGCTTGTTATAAAAGTTGAAGGTGATCCTGCTTAGAAAAGACGCTGTCAGCTCTGGATTCTGTAGGTAAAAATAAATAATTATTTTTATATTGCAAGGTACAGATAGGTTAAAATTGATTAAAACCAGAACGAAGCTCTACCAGCATTCAGTAATAAAAATAAGCAGTAAAAGCAAATCTAAATCCTAACGGGGCATACTTTATTAAAGTGCAGTGTATTATATACAATTGCCATGTATTTTTCATTCATCAGGGGAGCATGAGGTAGAGTGATAATGCAAGAAAACGGTTGGGAAACAGTTGTAAGCCTAAAACAGGAAGTGCCCAAACAATGACCTCCATGGAAGGATCACCAGATATTACTTTAATGAAAGCTGCATATTTAAAAAGATTAAAAACCACTATTGAAATTACAGTAACACTTTAAAGCAGTGATTCTCAACCGGTGTTACCTCAGAACCCACATTTATCCTTGGTCATTAAGTCGTGACCCGAGTTGCACTGCAATGGAACGCACCACATTGCGGTACTGTGCGTTCCGATGCGGGCAATAGAACTGTGGGTGGGAGGTGCATTTGAGGTGCCATTCAAATGAATGGCAATGCAATGCACTTCTCACACCAAAATGCGTGTTAGGTGCGATTGCGAAGTACGTGGCTGTGCGATTAACGCACTGTACTAGTGTGAATAGGCCCTCAAAAACACACAACCACTCACACACACACTCCCCAAAAAAAATGTTTTGTTCTTTTTTTAAGATCCACCCAGTCTCTCTACCTTATGAGAACTGGAGTGGATCTTTGGCCTGGGGTCCAGTGTGGGCTGCTGTGCTGTAGCTCCATCCATATGTGCATTGCCTGTACAGCTCCCCTATGTACATGTTACAATATGTTACATCACGCCCGTCCAGACTCCTCTACAAGCTGACACTTGGCACCGGGCAGCATATTTTGAATTGCTGCTTGGCGCAAGAACTGACAGTGCTGCGCTAGGGGGAGGCTGAGGAGCCTCTCACCTAGAAAAGTGGAAGGCACATGGGTACCCACTGAACACAGGGTCTCGACCCACCAGTTGAGAACCGAGTATTTAAAGTAACCTCTGCATATGCACTTTTTCATCATTATCTCAGTTTGAATTGCTTGTAATAGGAAGGAGCCCAGAAACAGGGGGAATCGGGGTTCTTTGTTGAGGTTCAACATGATGTTCCTGACTCTGTCTTCCTCACCTACTGGGACCAGACGTATGTTTGAAATGTCCAAAAGAAGTCACCCGCACTCCGAGGTCCAATGTGTTGAACGGCTCTTTTATTCAGACGTTATACAGACATGGTGGCACAGTGTAAAATCAACGTTTCGGGACCGAACATGGTCCCTTCCGCAGGCAAACACAGTGACCTGACCTGAAGCAGGGAAGTCTGATGAAGGGATCATGTGCGTTCCCGAAACGCTGCTTTTACACTGTGCCACCATGTCTGTATAACGTCTGAATAAAAGAGCCGTTCAACACATTGGACCTCGGAGTGCGGGTGACTTCTTTTGGACATTTCTGTGATAAGACGGCGCCATCCTCAGGTCATACCAGCACCCATCTATTTTATGGGATTCTGGTCAGGAGTGCTGTGGATTACACATTACAGACATATGCTTGGACCTGAGGAGGTGCTTATTCTTGGTAATAGCATGAAATCTTAATGGGTTGGTACATATTTCAATCAACTATTGAAGTTCAAGAAGCCAATCAATACAATGTAGCAGGAAACATGCTCAGGAGGTAGCTCAATGGCATGTAGGCACCCATACAATGCAGTCTCTTTGAGGGATTACTGGTCCCACGACAGCTTCATTTCAGCAGCAAAACGAAGAAACAAAAGCATGCTTACTTCAGCAAACACCTCAATCCACATAGTAGACTTTTTCTCAGCCTGAATAAACGCACTAGTAGATGAAGCCTCCATGTGTTCTCGCACCTAAAAGAACAGTCTGCCTATTCACCATCCATAGAGTTTGCACAGCCTCTTTCTTTAAAGGCTTCCCTGACCTTCCGGACTTGTGGACCAGAACAGCCAGTCTGAGGACCCATGCAATCTCTTCCACAGCCCAAACTCCAGGTCCATACAGAGGAATTTTATGATCAGCCTTCTAAAGGGAAGCTGACCTATTTTCCTCACCAAGCTTCCCTGGAGCCCACAACCGCCCCTATCCGCATTCTGGGTGAGAAGTATCTCCCATCTGCCACCTTTTCTGCCATTTTAGCCAAGACTCTGTCACAAAAGCAGACAACACAATGAAATGCTTTAGGGAGCATCTAGGCTGATTTGCACGTTTAATTAACTTTTTTTGCATCAGGATCCCTTCAGTAAAGATCACATTTTCACCCAAAAAGTAATTGTGCTTTAAAGGTGAGCTGTGGCCAAACAGCTAAATGCACAGATTATATAACACAGTAGTGTCATGTCCCCATCCCTGTTCACTGCTCACTGGACAATTAGGGAGCAGTAGCAGAATGATGAGGTTATTTGGCTATCCCATCCTGTGAGACTGGCAACACCATTTAATTCAGTACAGCCCGTGTGTACAAAAGAGGAGTTCAGGATACGGGGAAAAGATAGACAAATCTTTCAATACCTTCTTTGTGAGATCACTATCCTCTGAGATGGATGAGACGATTATTATGATAATTTGGAGACCAAAAGAGATGAAAAACAAGCAGTAGCGAGGCAGGTCAGGAATCTCCTCCTGAGAACAAAACACAAACAGAGAACAATAAGTCTGAGGTAATAACTTGGTGGAAAAAAGCCCATACTCATACTGATCTGAGAAAAAAAAAAAGATCTAGTTATTTAATATCGGCAACAGGATTGGCTCTTCCCTCAGACACTTTGGCCAATCAGGGTCATCATATTATAAGGTCACAAGGTGGAACCGTTGCAGTGGTATACTCAAGAGTGCAATCTGAGCCATAGCACACAATGGCACTGCTATTAGGGCTCAATTCTTTCTGGCTGCATAGTGATTTATGCAGGTAACAATAACATTTGTTAAGTATGTCTGCATAACATAACGTTTGGGAACCTCTATGTGATGGCTATGAAAACAATTAGTATTTTTGTATCACTATAGCCATTGCCTTTGAAATGCAGATTAGAGAGGCATAGGGGCCCCTTAATGGTTTTTCCATGGGGCCCCATCACACATAGGTAAGGCACTGGCTATACTTGCTGAATGCACATTGATGATCTTACCTTGAGTGCAGTTCGGATTAAAGATTGGAATGTAAAAATGCCACAAACAATGGACAGAGTCCAGAAGAGGAACAGGGTTCCGGAATCCTTCTTGACACAATACCGCCGGCTGTGATGAACTAATAACACCATGATCTGATGGGATGAGAAAATATACAATGACAATCTGTCTTCTATGCTGATACTAAAAGTTCTGATGCTACAACTCTCTTGTCCTGGCCGTATTCACCGAACCGATAAAATTATAGGCTCAGCTTTTTTACATAACCATTTTAAACATAAGTAAATCTTAACAATGAACGTCTCTTCTTTTCTTCATTTTGGTCTGTTAAATATTATACTGATAACATATCAAATAATAATAATAATAATCATATATCACTGCAAAAAGTACCTGTTGATCCTACCAGAACTCCAGTGAACACCTCCACTTATAGTATAGAGATGAGGAGAGGGGAGGGGATTTTTAGTCCTAAAACACTTTCTGTCCATGGGTGGCAACACTGCTTCTCCATAGATAGAGTACAGTGAGTGAGTGTTGTGGCCTTAGGACAGGAAATGTGTTACACATCTAAGGACTGGGAAGCTGCAATATATCACACTTCTGTTCTTGGGTTTAGATAAACTTTAAGGGTTTATGTAGATGGTAAAAATGAATTATGCTTTCTATTGTATGCATTTGCGATGCTTCTCATTAACTTCTGACCTTCTTCTGACCAGCATTTGACCTCTCTCTAAGGTGCATCAAGCTGCTTTTGCATTTCCATCGACTGTGTAAGGAAAAAAAAATCTGTTCTGGCACAAACCAAAGCTTGTATACACAGAACCTTAAACAGGAGGGATGATCCAGAACATGTTATTGGGGTTACACCTAGTGCCGGCTGGGGATGATTTTGGGGCTTCCTAGGAAGAACTGAGGTGCAGACAGGCAGCTTGGCTTGTTAGCTAAGATGGATTACATTTTATAGAAAGATCTGTCTAGATCAGCCTTTATCAACCTTTTTACCATGGAGGAACCCTTGAAAAATTGTTAATGTCTCAGGGAACCCCCTAAAAATGATGTTACCTACAGCTCACAGTGTGATCAGCAGGTTGTTAGAGACGGATTGCCCACTAGGCCAACTGAGGCCCGACCTCGGGGAGGTAGGGATTCCTATCACCCGATGCCCGGGACATGAATTTCCGTGCGCCGGGCGGGTAGTTGTTTTGTACATTTAGCACAGCTTTGGGCAATGTACAGCGCAGCCTGCTCGTCCGTCCTCCCCCAAAACCCCCTCCCTCTCTCCCCGCCAGCTGGAGATCCTCTCTTCAGGATGGAGAGATAACGTCCATTCCCCACCCTGCTCCATGTATACAGTGAGAGTGGAAAGATGCGCTCGCAGCCTTCCCCTCTCAGCTGTCACAGGAGTTCTAGCACAGTGCTGTGCTAGAACACCTGGAAGTGACAGGTTCAATAAAGAGAACCTGTCACCTTCAAATGTTATCACATAGGGGCTTGTTATCTCCTGTGTTATAGCAATAAAGTTAAATTAAAAAAAATTACATTGATAAAAAATGATAAAATAAATAAAAATTAAGAAACAAAATAAGTAAAAAAATAATAATGAACATTAAAAAGTAAAAAATAATAAGATAAACAATTATAAAAAAATTAAAGTAAAAAATAATAAGATAATAAGTATAAAAACAAAGTTAAAGATAATAAGATACATAAAAATTTAAAAACTGAAAAAAATATATAAAAAATAAAGAAAAAACTAATTAAAAAAAACCCTGCCAACTGGTTGCCATTCTCCATTAGGGGGTGGAGGGGAGGGTAACATAGGGGAACCTGGCCTTTTAGGTAAATAAAGAATGGGGTGTATTTAAACCTCCCTCCCCCAAACTCTACATGACAAAATTATCTTCAGTAATAATCATAATAATGGCCCAATTGCACTCCTGACCGGAGGAAGCCCAATGCAACCGGCGGGTGCAGTAGTGACAACGGATGCCTCTGCATCCGTTGTCACTGCCGCAAAGTATAGATAAATGAAAGTAGTCACTCGCACTCCAAAAGTAGTAAAGTCAATAGTGTTTATTGACTATGATGATGCACATCTCCTAGGCAACGTTTCAGGACCGTGCGGCCCCTTCCTCAGGCAAGCAGAGAGTGAATCATACAAATACATCAAGCAATAAATACAAGTGAAACAACGCCAAACCACCAATCACAATTCAATTGATTTGTGGATCAAGGATGGATGGATCAATTGAATTGTGATTGGTGGTTTGGCGTTGTTTCACTTGCATTTATTGCTTGATGTATTTGTTTCTTTCATTTATGTAAAATTTGTACTGACCCCTTCAAATAATGGGCAATGTAGGCAAATGCTCTCTCCTCAAGGAACCCCTAGCAATCTCTGGAGTCTGAAGGAATCCCAGGGTTCCACAGAACCAAGGTTAAGAAATGCTGGTCTAGATCTTCATGTGGAAATGTTCTTACCCATGTCACAGCGTGGATGGGAGGATTGATATACAGGACGGCGGGGACGATTTTGTCAGGGTAAGTGCTAGCTTGTTCCGTTATGTGCTCTGAGACTGTGATCCCTATTCCAGCAACAGATGTGAAGAACAGCAACAAGGTCAGGAGCTGCAAGAAGGAAAATAAAAGAATAATTGTCAGACCAAAGCCTTAAAGTGACATTAAAGTCAAATTTTTCACCCTCACCAAATGTTAATTAAAGCACTTACCTTAAACGATGCCTCTTAGTCCGATCTTCCTCTTCTTTCCTGTCCTTTTCAGCCTTCTCTCCAGCGCTGCGGTGGGTCTCCGATCCAGCGCTGACTCCTCTGTCCTTGCTGGAACTTCCTGTCCCACGGTGTCTGCATGCGGGTGCACGCGTCCATAGACTTACTTTGCATCTCTCCTCGTCCCCCCCCCCCGAAAATCCGAACTGCGAATGCGCCCGCCCTAAGATGCTTTGCGGCCGCCCGAGCAGTTTTGGATTTTCGGACGGGAGCACACGGCGAAGACACAGGTAAGTTTAAACCGCTTTTAAAGCGTTTTTGTTTTTTTAACTTTTTGCATATATCTACTGCTTGCTAGCAGTAGATATATGCAAACAAAACGGAGGGTTTAGAAACCCTTTAATAAGAGGACTTGCCTTAAAAAGAGGTCACGCTAGTACATTGCAGTTAGTGATCAAATCAACTAAGTTATCAAATCACATACAAAACAAGCAGGCCGAGTCATTGTTTCTGGCTGGTATTCAACTAGCAACGAGATAAGATGTTCAAAAAAACCTGACCAGATGTACGCAGATAAATACAATTACATAACAAAGTCTTTTAACACATTAGCAGAGTAAGCAGATTGCTTACACTAAACAAATGAAATAGATAAGGTTGCTGGTTCTTCAAATAATGGAATTTTTACTGTATTTTGGAAATATTACATGATCTGATGACATGCCCAACTTTGTTACTAATGTAGTATAGTCTTCCAATGAATGAAGTACAAATGATCAGATTCACGTGAAGACTCACATTAGCACTCGGATAGGTTAGAGTTTTTTTCTTTTGACATTTTATACATTTTTGGAGAAATGCTGTTGCACACTTCCTGTTGATGTGTAATCAAGTGATCAGGAGCCTAGGCATTTAGTCATGTGATCTTTGCTGAATATAAGCCAACCTGATCACTGATCCTCCATTTTACTAGAGGTTGTCTGACCAATGCCTAAGACCTTGATTCAGGTCTATTAAGTGTTTCTCATTATGGTCATTATTTATCCAGTATTTATATAGCACCAACATAGTAGGTAACACGTCACAGAGTTCATACATAGCATCCTTCAAGTCAGTCCAGTCAGAAGGACGTCAATTGCAGGTCAAATGCACCTGTCAATGAATTCTGAATGATCTCAGATGCATCTCAAATTGATCTCAAATGTAAGTGAAATACACCTGAAAGCAAGCTGTATTGTCCCTGTTCCCAAACTTTAATGATGACTATGACTAGTATGGGACTGCTGCAATGTGTCTGCATTGGGTCACTGCCCATCAATGCTCTGAGTGCCATGGTATACACAGGCTAATGTCCAAGGTGTGGAACAGTTTTTATCTGTTTCTGGATGGTCTCCAGACATTCTGTCATTGGTCGTTACCATTTTATCTAATGTGACCTGGTAATGACCCATATTGTGGATTAGGACAAGACATTCAGGTACATGCAGCTTTCAGTGGACACTGGACTGTCAATACTGCAGATTGTGCATACAAACGAAGAGAAGAAAAAGAAGAAAGTATATTTGAGAACTAAGTGTAGACGTATAACAACTATGTTCTCACAAGGCCAGAAGGCAAGGGTGGTGAAAGATCTGTTCATCATGAATAGAAAATACACACAAAAAATCACTGTAGACTGCCATCAAAACCTCATCCCAAATGTGAAACATGGCGAAGAAAACATCATGATTTGGAGCTTCTTACTACCTCAGAGTCTGGACAATTTGCTGCCACAGATTAGTGAACTTAAAACTGTATCAATAAACTATACCTTAGAATCTCAGGGTAGCAGTCCATCTCAGTATAACAATAGATGAATGACATATTCTTACATCCCAGCATAGACTGTAAATGTTTAAACAGAGCACAAAAAATGTTTGCCCATCTTATGCCAATAATGCACTTACTCTGGTCTCCTATCCAACTAAATCAACTTTGTGCGTAAGGTTTGCCCTATTCAAAGAATATGAAGGATTTATCACACAAATCCGAATCTGAATACATACAAATCCTTTATTTTCAGCTAATAGTCTGGAATCATTTAAGAAGCTTTTGGACGATTTCGTGAGAAACGGTAATATACAGGGGTACAGGTACTCCTAATAACGAGATGACACAGGGACCCATACACACACACACACACAATAGGTTGGACTTGATGGACATATGTCTTTATTCAACCTCAAATACTATGTAACTATTTAACTTTATATTCTTGGTTCTTATCTGCTGGCAAGACAAACTGGGCCACCACCCCTGGACAATTAGATCCACCAGGACAAGTTTATTTTAGGGTCACCTTTTTTTAGAGAACAACTCTGGTTCAGGTATAGAGCTATTCCAGTAGTCATTACAAGCCCATTCAATGCAATTTTGTGAGGTCAGAAGGTCAACTGCAAGTCAGTGAATGATCTCAGATGCATCTCAAACTGATTTTAAATACTCATGACAAGACCCATCAATGCAACTTGTTGTAAACCAATAATCTGCCCAGTTATCTCAAGTAATTTGTTTGAGAAAGATCTTCAACATTGCAACACAAGTCCAGCCATATGTGGCTAATTACTTCTAGATGTGCCATGACCCGGATATGAGAACGTTCAAAGAACTCTCAAGTAGTGTTTAAATTGGCCACAACATTTCTGAATGTCCCGGGTTTTCTTGTAGGAATACTCTATTACTGGAAAGATGATGCCAGTTGTATATGAAGCATTAACTGAAATCTGAACAGCAGACATTTTAACCCCAAAAAGTTACCAGAGCAATATATTCAGCCTCTCAGTCTCACCTGCTTGGCCAGGTACAGTTTAGAGATAGGGGATTTCACTTTGCCTCGTTTGCAGAAGTTGAGCAGCTGCCATGGAGCGCAGAGCCAGAAGAAGATCAAAGGAATCCACACTAAGACAGTCTGTTGGAAACACACTGGAAAGTCTGGATCCGTTCGCTCCAAGAAGGAGGAATTCTGTAAAGAAAAGACATGAGACACTTAGATAAATACAGAACAGAGTTCACTTTGTTTTTGGATCACTTAGTTGAGTGATCACATGGCCATTCCAGTCCTTCTTGTCACTGTCCAGGTGCTGTACATTGGCAGTTGATAGTGGGTACTCAACAGAAGATTACAGTGGGAACACAATACAATGCATTTATTCCATTCTGAAAACTAATATAGAGTTCAACTTCAGTTATATTTGGCTTTCCCTAAACATGTTTAAACAGCATATAGAAGTGTCTGATAGTATTCACCTGTAATTATGTGAATGTGTATGTCTCTTATTAAAATACAGAATTAAAACTAAAGCCCCAATTTATTTTTAGATTTGGATAGAGTGGAAAAGAGTAAGACCCACTGGCATGTTTTTATTCCCATCCCTGCTAGTGAGATTTCCCTTCACTTCCTGTCAGGAGGATAGCATGTGATAGGAAATCCCTCCAATAGACAAGGCTTTTGGGTCCAGAAATGTGATGGCTTTATGAATAGTCTTCCATCTGAGTTTACATTGTAGTAATAATAAAGCCAACATTTTTCTAGGGCTAAAGTTTTGCCCCCTACTCAGTCCCCATACATTGTACCCTATCTTTCAAGCCCTGATAAAGGGGGCAATGCTTCCGCCCCGGAAACGCATTGGCTTCTTGTACAGTCTTCCATGTGATTTTACATTGGATAATAAAGCCAACACTTTTCTAGGGCTAAAGCCTTGCCCCATACACAGTCCCCATACATTGTCCCCTATCTTTCAAGTCCTGATAAAGGGGGCAACGCTTCACCCCCAGAAAGGCATTGGGTTTATGTGCAGTCTTCGATGTGATTTTATAATGGAATAATAAAACCAACATGTTTCTAGGGTTACATTTAGCCTTGTCCCCTACCCAATCCCCATACATTGTACCGTGTCTTTCAAGCCCTGATAAAGGGGGTAATGCTTCAGCCCCAGAAACACATCGGCTTCTTGTACAGTCTACCATGTGATTTTACATTGGATAATAAAGACAACACTTTTCTAGGGCTAACGCCTTGCCCCCTACCCAATCCCCATACATTGTCCCCTATCTTTCAATTCCTGATAAAGGGGGCAATGCTTCACCCCAAGAAAGGCATTTGGTTTAAGTACAGTTTTCAATGTGAATTTACATTGCAGAAAAACTGTATCTGGATTATAACATCATGGTGAGGCATTTGAATTCTAGATTTACTTGTTCAACTAAACACCTGAAATGACTTCTATCCCTACCCCACTCTGTCCTTTACCAAAAAATGTTTTCACTGGAGTTGGGTTTTAAGGGCTTCAAGAAAGATGTTCAAAATGCTTTTTATATGCTTTGTACATGCTTTCTGGATCCAATGCTCTTAAAAAAATCTAGGATTCAACAATGCCTGTGTGTTCATTGTCCATACATACCTAAACGGTTTAATATACAAAGAATAAAATATACAATATATAAAGTATTAAATATATAAAATACAAAAAAAATATAAAAACAAAGAATAAAATGCTTTATGAACTACAGTGAAGATAGGCATAGATGTTAATTTCTGATATTCTAACACATCTGTAACACTTAACAAAAGCGATGTTTTTTTATGTCTAATCCCGAGAGTCTCCTTTGTAAGAAAAAACCCTAGACTACCATGTGCCTGGCTTGTCTCAAATATCTATTTACACTAATGGCGTTTCCTCTCATAACTATTTAAACTGATATAAATCTCCTCAAACAAGAATCCTTATGTCTTTAATTGACTAAATATATTTTTTAAGATGAACGTAAAAGGGTTTGTTTGGCTATTTTCCATCTTTTATCCCAGGCAATATAATTAATTTACTAAATAGAAGTATTCCTTAACCCGAACAAGGGTAGATCCATGAGTAGACATGCCACCGAAGGAGACACTGACGCCAATCAAAACACATTGTGAATATTAACAAAAATTACATTTTCATTTGTTCTGGTTACCAGTAAGTAACACGACTGATACATTCACTCCTGATAGAGGTCTATTTCCTTCTATCGGGGTCCAATTCACTACATTAGCGGAAAAATCACACATCCATATATGTATTTTTTGTATGAATTTGACATTATTGTTCTACAAGTACAAGCACTCACATCTTTACCTTATAGTAATGGCACAATTTACAGAGTATTTTACATATATAAGGGTGCCCTATGTGATATATTACAAAAACAAAGTAGGACCCAGTAAGAAGCCCACAATATAAAAATATTGAACCAGCAGACAATGAAGAGACTTACCCAGAAGATAGACCCGCAGTATTTATCTAGAGCCTTAGACATGGTGGGAGGTGGAATGGCTGCTCGCAGGCTCTCTGTGTCCTGATATTACGCTGTCTTGTTTGGTTATATGTTCTTCATGGCTTATGGTAGTAGCTGTATTATTACTCAATGATTCAGCAGGTTAAAAGTCACAACCCACCCACCCCTGGATGTTATACTCCCAAAAGGGCATCTCAGTGCAGTACAGTCCTATTGGACTTGACTTGGGTTAAAAGTTAACTTAGTTTAGAAGCTCACAGTTTAGAATGAAGTCTATGAGTAGGCGGCTCTTGCACTAGTCCTCCTTCACTGCTGGTAACAGAAGTGATTGTCATTTTCTATAATTTAACTAATTTATCTTTAAGATCGCTGCCAAACCAACCCCCCCCCCCTATGTGACGTATTCAGGACTCATGATGATACTGTAGAAAACGAGATCTAGAACAGGAATACAGAGGATTGTGTAACAATTCACTGATTTACATGGCTTGTAGTTACTTATCTCTTTTTTTGCATACCAGACACAGTCCTCTGGTATGTATAAAAGGCTAAACTATGTATAGAATTGTTTTTACTGTACTTTTTTTTAGCTAGTATAGTTTAGCCATGTAAGCTGCAGAAAAATTCAGCTTGGTTTGGATGTTTCGTTATTTCGGGATTCAGTTCAGTTCGGAGTTTCGGATTCAGATGAAATTCGAATTTTCGTTATTTTCAGATAAGTTTACAAACGAATATTCGTTATGACTACCACAGAAAACCATATACAGATATTAATACTACAGCTGAAGCTCCCAGACCCGAATGGCATTCGGGAGTCCGAATTTCCGATTTTCCGATTACCATTTGGGAGCTCCAGAAAGCCATACGGGTCTGGGAGCCATATACATACATAATATTAAAGCTGAGGCTTCCAGACCCCAATGGCATTCGGGAGCTCTCGAATGCTATTCGGAAATTCGGACTCCATTCGGGTTTTGGAGCATCAGCTTTAGTATTATGTATATATAATTAGTATTTTGTAGTATGAACCAATAACAATTCAGTTTATTAAAACAATTCATCCCCTCACAGCTACCTCCTCATGTATCACTTCTCCCTCCCTCTTGTATTGTGATTGTAATGTCTTCCCTATATTGTAAAGCACTGCGCAAACTGTTTGCGCTATATAAATCCTGTATAATAATAATAGTCATTGCGTTAACGTTGGGAGCCATATATACATTAAACCAAAGCTGAGGCTCCCAGACCCGAATGGAATTCCGGAGCTCCTGAATGCGATTCTGAAATTCGAATGCATTAAACCGAAAAAACACATCTGATTGGCCAGAAAAGCCACATGTCCGATTCAATTTAGTTTCTAAACAAAATTTGGGCTGGATCGAAATTTTGGAAAACTGACATTTGGATTTCTTACACATTCGAATGCATTGGGATTCGGAAATTCGAATGTCTGAAAATTTGTATGAATTTTGATTCGAAACAAAACAAATCGCACATGTCTAGTATAGATTAGAGGCCGTCCTTAATGATTTTAAATGAAGCACGTAGCAATCTTGATATCCAGGTGTGTTTTGTCTACACTGACAGATTAACCATTGTTTTTTATTAATTTCAGGAAGAATCTTGAAACTGTCCATACAATTTAGGTTCAAATACTTGTTTATGATGGAGTAAAAATACAGGTAAATCAGGGTGTTTTCCTGGCAGTATCTACTACTAGTGTGCTATAGATAGTGGGGGGAAGGGTTACATATGTTTTTAAATATAGTTATTTCGTATTTATAGTTTTATATACAGTTATATAAAATACTGTAGGCTAAATGTCATATTTATTGCTTATTGGTGAAGAGTTACACAATAACATTAGTTGAAGTCCTTAAGCTTATGTAAAGACAATTGAATTGTCTGGAAGCCATTATTAGGTGACCCATAGCAAGGGTCCTAGATAACAATGGCTTTTATGAGTTACACACAGCTCTCAATGCTTATTTGTATTGCAAATATTTCCTGAAAATTACCTTTTTTTTTCTCAAAAAAGCATAAAGTGGATAAACATCTACTAATGTTTCAGATTCCTAAGAGTGAACATTTTGGATCTAAACTATCGTACTTGTTATTTGGGTCATTAAACTTCTGTTGAATCTTCAATTATCTAGTGCATGGATAGCCCATGGATTAAATTGTTGGCAGAGAATTCTGTACCCAATGTTTTCACTTTATAACCAGTGACACACACAGGTCATTCCCACACCGCACAAAAAATATAGTTATTTTTATGTGTTAACATTCTTCGGCTCGGGGTCTCTTTCTACTTCCCCTTCCTGCCTTGTTGCTATGAGCCGCAGCAGTACTTAAAACCGACGTTGACCAATCAGTTATCCACAACTGGAAGCAAGTTTCTGTTCAAGATACTAGTTTACTGGGAGAGAAGCCACCATCGGATGTAACTTCATTGTAAAGAATGGCAACTCTATCGCTAAAAAGTGGAACCCATAGAGGCAGGGCCTGCCACATATCCTACCGAATTACTTACAATTTCATGTAATATTGTTTTTCTCTTCCAAACAGTGCATTTAGAGAAAAAGCAGATACGCCTAAATGGCTTTCCATATTATATATTTGTTAAGAAAATAGTGTATATGCAGTTGGGCATTTTATGGCATTAAGCAATTAAAAAAATTCAGGACACCAAGATTTTTTTTTAAACATAATATTCTTCTTTATTTAAAAAATTACAATAGAACAAGACTTCCAATATCACAGAATTACAATAGAAGAAGTCTTATAATATTAATATTATACAGGATTTATATAGCGCCAACAGTTTGCGCAGCGCTTTACAATATAAGGAAGACATTACAATCACAATACAATTCAAGACAAGATGGTAAGGAGGCCCTGCCCATGAGGGATTACAATCTAAAAGGGAGTGGCCAGTGATAACTGAGGAGGTAGCTGTGTGGGGATGAATTGTCTGAGAACATGATAGTTGAGTGGTTAGGTTGAGGTGGGATAGGTTTCCCTGAAGAGATGAGTCTTAAGGGATCGCCTGAAGGCAGTCAGAGTGGGAGATAGACAGGTTGGGGTAGAGAGTTCCATAGGAAGGGAGAGGCTCTAGTGATGTCCTGGAGGCGAGCATGGGAGGAATTGATGAGGGAGCTGGAAAGCAGAAGGTCTTTTGAAGAGCGGAGGGGACGGTTAGGGTGATATTTTGAGACAAGTTTGGAGATATAGCCGGGGGCAGAGTTGTGGATGGCTTTGTAAGTGGTTGGTAATATTTTGAATTTTATCCTTTGGGCTATTGGAAGCCAGTGCAGGGATTGGCAGAGGGGAGTTGCAGACACTGAACGGTTGGTTAGGTGAATTAGTCTAGCAGCTGCATTCATGATAGACTGAAGGGGGTATAGCCTGTGTAGTGGAAGGCCAATGAGGAGGGAGTCGCAATAGTCAAGACGAGATATAACAAGCGAGTGGATGAGTAATTTTGCGGTTTCACAGAATTACAATAGAACAAGTTTTACAATATCACAGAATTACAATATAACAAGTCTTCCAATATCACAGAATTATAATCGGACAAGTATTACAATATCACAGAGTTATAATAGAAAAAGTCTTATAATATCATAAAGATAAACCAATTTTGAGGGTTATCTAACTCCGGCTGTTGCTGTTCTCTAAAGAATGAACTGTAAGACTTTGGATGCCATTTATTTTGATTCACCTGGAAAATATTTATCTGATTTAAACAATGTTCAGTTTGGCTTTAATATTCTTAAAATTATTTGTGGCAGCGGGTGTACAAAACTGAAAATAATTTATTCTAGCTCATGCAGGATGACTAAGCAATTCAACGTGTTTATAGAAAATTTGCAATGTCATCCGATTAGCAGAAAGATTTGAGTTTGACTCTCTGCCTCCATAAACAGGGTGGAGGGACTGGGGGTCCAATGTGCACACAGACATGCCAGTCATTCCTCTGTTAATAATTAGAGAAGGAAAGTAATCGCTCTTATCACTTCTTCATAAATAGCATAAGTTGTAAACCTTCACCTAGATCATCATGGCTGCCGAGCTTATGTAGTGTTTAGACGTTGTGTATATGTTGTGTATATGTTTTGGAAAATTAAGTTCTTGCTCAAGCTTAGAAATAATTACAAGAGGTGAAAAATCTATTTTAATAAATAAACAAAAAATACCTTTTGTTCTAGACCCTTCAGAACAAGGGCCTCCAAAACACACCCAAGTGATGTGTGATGTGAAGTAGGTTGGGATCACACCAAGGTGTAACGTCTAAGGAAAGCCCAGTCTTTACTCCAACAATCAGGTCCATCAGGTGGTCCAACAATCAGTTTGGAAGAGGATGATTCCATATTGTGGTCCTTGAGTTTGTCCCACTGCTGACAGCTGATGGTCTCTTTGATAAATTCCCAGGAATTTGATGTCTCGTGAATGTTGTTTTAATATTATTCACATAACCCAGCTTGTTATATTTAGAGGCTGGAACTGGCTCTTCAGGTTCCTTTTTTAGACAAGCCTGGTCTTCTGTTTCAAATCCCGCTTTATGGACTGCTATACCTGCATAGACCTCAATCTGTCTGGACACCATGGCCATCTACTGACTCGGCAGCATTCACAGGCAGCTTAATGTATATTTGTGCTCTCATAGCCAAATTGGGATAACACCTAGTTTATATTTGTTACGTGTTCCCATTCACATACCATAAGCTAGAACAAAAAATACAAAATGCTTCTTCCAGTTTAAATTTATTTTACTTGGGTTAGGGTTGCTTGGCTTCTTAAAGCCCATTTCCACCTTTGCAGAGGTATTTTTTTTTTAAAAAACATATGCCAGCAATGTACACCAAGTGTACATGAAACAGGTAAATGCAGCTGATGTATATGAACAGAGAAACTTAGTTTTCCTCTTCATATTCCCATGGAAACTGCTGCCTGTGTTGTCTTAGCTCTTTCTGAGCTCTCCCATTCATTAGTATTCATAGAGGGCCCCCCTTCCCCCTCAGACAGTGTATTGTGGGCAAAGGTAGACCTGCTG